CCCGCCCAACCCACCACACCCCTCCCCCCTCTCTCCCACGGCGCAAACGATTAAAGGGAAAAAAACACAAGAACAGCAGAAAGCTAACGATTTGAACCGGTTTCCTTCCCAATTCAGAAAACCCCACACACAACTCATTCAAGATGGCCAACCCCCGAGTCGAGGAGCTCCCTGATGAGGAGACTCAGCAGGTCAACATCGAGGACAAGGAGGATGACAGCAGCGACGAGTCCGAGGCTGGTGATGAGGCTGCTCTCCCCGCCAGCTCTACCACCGTCATCTCCAGGAACGAGAAGAAGGCCCGCAAGGCCCTCGAGAAGCTCAACCTGATCCGCGTTCCTGGAATCACCCGCGTCACTCTCCGCCGCCCCAAGAACGTAAGATGATCTTCCGATTTCTGATCCCATAAAACAGCCACGGAGTCGCTGAAAGCGAAAGCTGACAATTCAAACACAGATGCTCTTCGTCATCAACAACCCCGAGGTCTACAAGTCTCCCAACAGCAACACCTACATGTAAGTTCTATAACATAGACCGTGTGTGTACCTGGAGCTGTATGGATTAGCCCCCGCTGACGTTTCTTCTTCTCGTATAGTGTCTTTGGTGAGGCCAAGATCGAGGACACCGCTGCCGCCGCCCAGCAGGCCGCTGCCGCTCAGCTCGCCGCCCAGGGTGCCGACCACGACCACGCCGGTCACGACCACTCGGGTCACAGCCACTCCCACGAGTCCGGCGAGGCCAAGAAGGAAGAGGATGATGAGGACGAGGACGAGGATGACGATGAGGAGGTCGACGCCGAGGGTCTAGAGGACAAGGACATTGAGCTCGTCATGGCCCAGGCCAGCGTCAGCCGCAACAAGGCTATCAAGGCTCTCAAGGAAAACGACAACGATATCGTCAACTCCATCATGGCATTGAGTATCTAGTTTCTGAGAAGCGGAGTGGAGGGAACCTACCTGACTTCCTCTCTTGCTCTCACCCAGGCCTGCGTGGCTATGGGGGTGTGCATCTAGCTGTGTACTAGAGAGCTTGCCCCTCTTAGCTTATGTGTGCTGGGGTTCCAAAAGAAAAAAAAAATGGGATCAATTCTCTGGAGTTCAAATACTATCACTGCATGCCTGAGCTTCTTCTTGTGCTTGACTATTATGAGTATGGATCAAGGTATTGCGAAAGATTCTAGAAATACGGCGGCTGTAAGATGAGACCACCATGTGCATATCGGGGGAAAAAGAGCACCGTGGCCAACCCAACAGTCCTGTATGCATCAGTGTGATGACATGTTCCGTGTCAAAATAACAGGCCCGTCTACGCCCTCCAGGTTCCCTGGCTGCCAGGCTCTGGGGAACGCCTAACCCCATGGGCTTGTTGCTATGTGCGCCTATTACGGACAGGTCCGGGATCGGGTAGTGATTCAATCACGTGATGAACATTTACCCGGACTCCTCCCACGACCCGCTTGTGTACTCGGCAAAGTCAATCAACACCTTGGTACTCTAGCACCACGCCTTCAACCACCTACTCTCCCTTAAACCCGTCAAATCATCTATCAAAATGGCCACCACGGTACGTCTACAGCCCGAGAACTGCGCATGGGAGGGGATGGATCTATCTTCCTGTTCCAATTGCGATTGCACTACGACGACGGCGCGTTGTTTGCATTGCGATTGAGTGTTTTGAGGGACAATTTGTCCCTTTTTCTCTCTCCCCTTCCGCTCCCGCTCGCTACTAGCTTTCCACCCTCCCCTGTTTTCCGCCCGGTCGGCCGGATGAGCACCAGATGAGCTAATTTTTTTTCTCTCCTTCTCCGTCGCGCCCGACGAAACAGCGAAGCGCCGCTCTCAAGATTGACTGGACCAAGGTGACCAGCTCGCTGGGTCTCCGCGGCCAGACCGTCTCCTCCCTCCAGGCCTTCAAGAAGCGCAACGAGGACGCCCGCCGCCGCGTCCAGGTGCTCTCGGAGCAGCCCACCACCGTCGACTTCTCGGCCTACCGGTCCGTCCTCAAGAACCAGGCCATCGTCGACGAGATCGAGAAGCGCTTCAAGGACTTCAAGCCCCTCACCTACGATGTCAACCGACAGCTGAAGGCCATCGACGCCTTCGAAGCCGAGGCCGTCAAGAATGCCGAGGCCACCAAGCAGGCCGTCGACCTTGAGCTCAAGGACCTTGCCGCCACCCTCAAGAACATTGAGGAGGCCAGGCCCTTCGAGGACCTCACTGTCGTACGTCTCACCATACTCCCCCGTCAACGACCACCCCACGACCCCGATCATACAGCCTCTTTTCTTCTGCGCACCCGCAACAATGATGGTACTGACTCCCATACTTTTCACTCTGTAGGACGAGGTTGCCGCCGCCGAGAAGACCATCGACGAGAAGACCAACCAGCTCGTCTCCAAGGGGCGCTGGATGGTGCCCGGATACAAGGTACGTGTCTCCTGTCTAACCACCACACCACCCCTCCTGCGCCATTTACTTCTTTGCTTGCTGACACCCACTGCAGGAGAAGTTCGGCGACCTCGCCGTCGTCTAAGCTGCTTTCTTGCGTCCTTTCCACTATCCCTATACAGAAAGCTCCTTCCCTTTGTGTACTCTAGCATTGTAGATACGAGAACTCGTGCGGTGGAGCTAATAGACTCTGCTAATATCCCTTCAAGACAAGACTTGGGGCCAGTTCCCGTTCCATCCATGATTACGTTTTATTGCTGTGCTGTGCTGTGCTGTTATGTGCTTACTTTAATAAGTGACGTGGCTATATGTTCTGATCCGGATAAGCCGGTGCTACTCTGAGCCATCAGTCCGTGGCTTGCCTGACTTTTGCCTGGCCGTCGTATATCAATCACCCTCACATTTACCATATGGACCCCTGATGTTGCAAGGGCTCGTGGGCTGGAACAAGAAGTACTCTTCGTTACAAGTAGACTGAAGAGCAAGCCTACAGCTTGGAAGCCCCAGCCGCCCAAGGCGCCACGACGTAATATCCCGACTCGTTTACAGCGGCACATGGCGCACCTTGATAGACATAGGCCGCCTACTAGATTTTAGACGGCAAGCGTCTTAACAGAGTTCAGTGTTTTAGCATGGGACCAGCCACCATAGAATATATCATCACCATATCGGCAAGGTATCTGCTCTCTGGAGCATCGCTTTTGTTCTATTCATTTTGCCATATATTCCTCTTCTAAGCTGTCGGCGTAGCATACTTCACGGTCCACTCCCTTGCCACGGCAATGGCAGCCTTCTCGTCGTCCTTCCAGCTCTTGGCGACGTCGGCAGCGAGGGGGTCATCGGGGTTGGGGGCGCCCAGGAGGGCCTGGATGGAGAGGAGAATCGTTCGGATCTGGAGGGCAGGTGACCAGTTGTCTAGCACATGATGTTAGCAGAGTCGTTTCAACTACCCGATTGGAAGGGCTCGTAGCATGTGCCATTGCGCCGTATCGTGGGTGTGCCTACTCTTCAGGACATCGAGACAGATGCGACCAAGCTTGTCGACATTGGGGTGGAAGATTTTTGTGAGGAAGCGAATCTTGGGAGGCGTCATGGGGTAGTCTTCGGGGAGGAATAGCTCGAGCTTGAACACGCCGCCTAGAGGTAGGAAGAAGAAGGAGTCAGTTCCGCCATGCAGTCTCGCGAGAGAAGAGTGTGGCCTGCATGGTATACCTTCGTAGGGGGACTGGGAAGGGCCGTGGATCTCGACGTCAAAGTATCGGAGGTTGTCTTCGTGAGGGATGGCGCTGATCCCGGGCACGCTGCAAGCTGTCAGTAAGCAAGAGCACGCGCGCACACATGCAGGCTGGTCATGGTCAACTTACGGCTCGGCCATCAGCCGCTCCGTCTCCTTGATGATACGCTTGGGCAGCGCCATGTCGTGCCACGCAACTTGAGGTAGGATGGAGGGGCTATAGGGTCTAGAGAGTCTAGAGAGTGCACGAAAGAGGGAGAACCGGGAGACAGCAGGAACAAGACAAATAAAATGCTCTTTTCGGCTTGAAGGGAGGAAGGGCGGCGCGAAGACGTTGACGTAAGTGAAAGCCAAGAACGTGGAAGTGTGTCGTTGGATTTGGAGAGGCGGGGCACTCGTTGGATTTAAAGCAAACCCGGAGAGGGAGGGGGACAGCCCAAGTCTCGCGTGTGCGATAAGATGGCGCACTCGTGCAGTAGTGGGAGACAAGGGAAGCTTACACGCGCTGGGTGCAAGGATGCGGCAGAGAGGATGTTGGGGATTATGAAATAATTTCAAGGTAGATCTTTGTTTCGCTTCCTCGACTGGAGAGATTGTGCCATTGATTGCACGAGCACACGGAATAAGGAAGATGGTAGAAGAAAAGCGGGAGATGTTGGAACTCATTCAAGCGACGGCGTCCTTTGAGCGCATTTCAGCACATGACGACGCCTGAACGACTTCTGGCTCTGCAGTGGATCCTGATCCTGTTTTGCTGGCAATCAGCGTGAGGTACCTCTACACAGAATCCCGCCCACGAGATACATTGGGATGAACTTCCGGTGATTTTCAATCTCATCTGTCTACACTCATCATCATCATCAACATCGTCCTCTTTTTTTCATTTGGTGTATATATCCATAGAAAAACGACCACACACGATGCAGCTGTTCAAGCACAACTGAAGCTGCCGAGATTATCCAACCTTAGAAAAAGTATTTTTATCCCCCTATTTTGAAATGGAACTGTCCTCTGCTCCACCATCCCATTGATGCCCGCTTGGCATTGAGGCGCTCACCGTGAGAAGGTCGCATGACGACGCGAGGCCGCCACCACGATGCCGACATTTGAGCAGACACTCGAGCAGGCCAAGAAGGGTAAGATCATCAAGTCAGCCTACGACAGTGAGAGCTTCGAGTCTGATGGCACCATCCACGTCGACGGCCTGGTGGGGTCGGCCACCATCTCACCGTCCGGTAGGGACATTGCGCTGGCGTCGCCCGAGGGCCTGGCCATCATCGACCTGGACTCGCCCTTCAACCCTCCGCGACGGCTGCGAAGCAATGGCATGCCGTGGCTAGTGACGGACGTTCAGTGGTCACCATTTGCCGCCCGCGACTACTGGGTCGTATCGACGGCCAACCACCGCGCCCTGGTGTGGAACCTCAACTCGCGCGACGACTCAAGCTCGGGTGCCATCGAGCACTCTCTGCAGGGTCATAGCCGCGCCATCACCGACATAAACTTCTCCGCGCACCATCCGGACTTCCTGGGAACATGTTCCGTCGACGGCTACGTCCACTCCTGGGACTTGCGCCGCCCCAGACAGCCCGTCCTCACCTTTTGCGACTGGTTCGCCGGCGCTACCCAGGTCAAGTATAGTCGCCAGGAGCCGCACATCATCGCGTCCTCCCATGATCGTTGGTTGCATATCTGGGACGAGCGCTGGTCATGCAAGCCCCTCCGCACAATCCCGGCACACACCTCCAAGATCTACGGTATCGACTGGAACCGCGTGTCCCCAACCGCCCTCGTCACCTGCTCTCTCGACCGGAGCATCAAGTTCTGGGACTACGCCAAGGAGAGCGATGAGCCAAACCACGTCATCAATACCGACTACCCGGTCTGGAGAGCCCGACACACCCCCTTTGGCTATGGACTGCTCGCCATGCCCCAGAACGAGCCCGGCGACCTGTACATGTACGACCGGAGGAACCTGAACCAGAACCCCAAGGATACCTCTGCCGACCCCGTTGCCGTCTTCCCAGGCCACGGCGACCACAAAGTCAAGGAGTTCTTGTGGAGGAGCCGTGGCGGAATCGGGGACGATAATATCGACAACCGCGAGTTCCAGCTCGTTTCGTGGGGAGGAGACCATGAGGTGAGGTTGCAGTGCATCGATGAAAGCGTGCTGGCCTCTGTCGGCTACGTCCGCGGCTCTCTCGCCACCCGCGGCCTCAACCTCACCCGTCAGGGCGCTGTCTACAAGACGTTTCGTACCGTCGACGATGGATCCAGTCGTGATCGCAAAGCTGGCACCATGAGAGACCTGCGTAGTAATAACAGCACAGCGCACAGCAGCCAGCAGAGCGCTCTCACGCTCGGTATGCGATCAGCCATCCAGGGTCGTCACTCCATGGCCGGTTGGCGAGGCCCGTCTATGAAGGCCAAGGTGCGATCCAAGAGAGACCGTACCCAGTCCCAGATCGGATGGCTCAAGGGAATCACCATCACAAAGAGACGGACACCGGGTTCTCGTGATGTTCCTAAGAGGCAAATGTCCAAGGATTCCAGCGCCTTTGGTCATGGTTACCCCGACGATGATTGGGGAGAGCCCGATACCGTCCAGGAGGAGCTGTTGCGCATCAGCACACAGATACCCAAGGTCAAGTGGGAAAACATCGATATGGACAACCTGTCGTTGAAGGCGTCGCTGAACGGACCGTGGGGTGTTGATGGGGAGACCACCTTCATCAAGATCAAGATCGATATTCCAGAAGACTATCCCACCGCAGCGGCACCAACCTTCTCCATTGAAAAGACGTCCTTCCTTCCAGAGGAGACGCACCGCCGCATGACGCGAGAGATCCACCAACTCGCGGAACAGTTCCTGCAAAGAAAGCACAACTGTCTGGAGGTTGCCTTTACCTATCTCCTAGGCGAGGTTGATTTGGAGACCAGTACCACCTTCTTCAAGAACGTTGGGGATCTGGATGACGAGCTTCTAGCAGGGATGGATAGTATCAGCTCTAGTAGTGACGAGGACGAGGATATCCCTGCCGGCGGCTCAGCCTCCATGTCGCAAGAGCTGGTACCCCCTGGCGGCGATGCTGATACAGCACTGGCGACGACGAACCGCACCATCATCCCGCCACCCGTGAGGACGTGCGGCGCTCGCTTCTCCCACGCAGGACGGCTCATATGCTTCTTTCCTAGTAAGGAAGAAAAGGCTAGGGCCCTATTCTCGAGCAATCCGTCGCTGCAGAAGGACCGGCCCAAGGGAGAGCCATTCTTTGCCGGGTTTGGCCGACTCACGCACGAAACACCTCCCCGGCACAGGTACACTGAAGAAGCATCCGCCACGGATAACCTGTCTGGCTCCGATGAGTCAGAGGACTCCTCATCTTCGTCATCGAGCGATTCTGAATCTACGTCGATGCACAAGCTGAGCATGTGGTACCGCCCGAGTCGCCAGCTCCGAAAGACGTGGAGCGAGGACCGGTCCGTGCGATCGAGCGGCGGAGGTACCGGGACGGGCATCGGAACCGGTACCGGCACTGCTTTTAGCCGCCGGCGTAGTGGGCGGCCGCGAAACCTTGTGTCGATTCATGATTTGCGTGGCCTGCTGCCGTCCAAGAAGGAGCTGGCACAGGAGTACGCAATATTCGGTGACGGTGCCGAGGTGTGCGAGCATAACGCTATGGTGGCGGAGAAGTATGGCTATGACGACCTAGCCGATATATGGCGGTACCTCACGCTTCTTCTCAGACAGGGGATCCCCCTGGAGTTCCTGGCCCACGACACAAGGCGGAACTCCATCCTCGTGATCGCCCGCGAGATTGTTTCGAGGTGTCGTGGCGAACCGACGCTCGACGCAGGATTCGGGGTCATGAGCCCCGCTCCCGGACTATCCGGGAGAGTCAAATGGGGGCAGCATCCGTTGGCGCAGGAATTCATCCTAGAGCTCCTCGAGTACTTTGCCAAGATCTCAGACGTACAGATGCTGGCCATGCTGTCGTGCATCTTCAGCGACACATCAGCAGGCAGTGGCCTAGCGTACGCAGAGTCGCAGCTCCCCCAGCCCAAGACGCCTCTACCCCTGAAGGCCCCCGCCTTTTCGCTCAACTACTACCCGGCGGATTCTTCGGCGTGGAATCTGTACAGCAAGAGCCGGCACACCTCTGGCATAACGACCCCGAGGACACCAATGACGCCGCACTACGCGACGCCGCAACTATCCGGCGATGCACTGTGGAGCGGAGAGGCAGGGCTCAACTCGTACTCATGCGGTGAGACGCCCCCGGCCAGACATAAGGGACGGGATACCCCGCACGGGGGACGGTCCAGATCTCCCCATGGACGGTCAGTTCCCAAAGCGAATACCAGCCTAGCATCGTCCCTTACGGGGGTCTCTCGATCGCTCACAGGCGGCAGCTCTGCCTCACCTCCCATAGCCACCTACGGGAAGAAGAAGCCCAGCCCCGTCGAGACGATCATCAACAGCCTACACCCGGGCGGCGGCACGTCCATATGGGGCAGCTCGACGGCGATGGGTGACTCCAGCGTCGGGCAGACTTCGGTGGACGACGAGGACGACGAGGACGATGAGAATGATACGCTGCCACTGGTGCCCGTGAGCGTCTCAGTCTACATAGAAGACCAGACGATATTCGATGATGACGGCTGGATGAGCGCGCCGTTCCTCGACGCCAAGCGAGCAGACGCATACGCCAACTACCGGTACGCATATGCCGAGATGCTCGAGATGTGGGAAGAGTCGCTGGCCCGCCTGGAGATTATGAAGTTCAACATCATCAAGGCGGACAGGGTAACCTCCGGCAGCAACGGCGACAGCATCAGGACGACGGTGGACGCCACCAGTGGCAGCGACAACGTCCGCGATTCGCCATCGTCGACCCTGACCAAGAGCCCTGAGGGCAACCGCCGACAGCAGCAGCAGCAGCAGACAACGACAACGTCACGCGGCGGCGGCAAATCGGGCTCATCCCCCATTGTCATGGGCAGGAAGGACCAGCTTCAGGCCATCGTCGCGTCGAGCCGTGGCCTAGATGTGACGGGCATATGCCGCATCCACGAGACGCAGCTCGAGCCAGCGCTGTACACCTCTTCCGACGCCAGGATGGGTGGCGCCGTGGGCACGTGCGGCCGGTGCCGCCGCACGCAGAGTCAGCTCCGCTGCGTGTACTGCCTCGAGCCCATAGACGCCCTGTTCCCCCCGTGCCTGTCCTGCGGCTGCGCCACCCACGAGGTCTGCCTGGCCGAGTGGCACGCCGCCGGCGAGACCGAGTGTCCCGCCGGGGACGAGTGCAGCTGCGTCGACGAGGCGGACGACGGTCAGGTCGAGTCGTGGGCTGCGCTGCAGGGTGCGATGCTCAAGAAGCAACAGCAGAACAGGGGTATATCAAACCTTCCCCTGTCGCCTATCGAGGATTACGACGATGACGATGATGATGAAGACGACGATGCCGATGCCGATATCGATGTGCGTTTCCGCACCTCACTGGTGCAGAGATCCAATACCGTGGATGTCACGTCGCCTGCTTCTTCGACAAGGAACACGACGGCCAGGGGCGGTGGCGGTGGAGGCGGGGTATTCCCCTTAGCGGGACCGGCGGCACTGAGCTTCGGAAGACTGAAGAAGTCCGCTGGATCGTGGTCGAGGGCGTCTAGTGGGCAGAGAGGTCTCAGTCGTGGACGGTAACACTATGCATCGCCGAGAGGGAGGGGCACACTTTCATGTAGTGGAGTGGTATGTGTATGTAGGATTGCATGTGCAAGTAGGTTATGGTTTTACTCTTACTCTTTATCACAAGCCAACAATGTATATATTTCCCCTCATAGGTTTTTCTTCTCATCTATCTTGGGTGGCAGCCCAGTCCGAACCCATGTCTCTCATGCCTTCTTGACCAAGTTGACAAGTGGTTCACCAACATCCATCTTCTCAAGGTTAGTGAACAAAACGTCGACAGTTCGCTCGAAAAACGAGCTCGACTGCCAGCTGACGTGCGGCGTGATGAGCAGGTTGGGCGCCTTCCATAGCGGATGACCGTCAGGCAACGGCTCCGGGTCCGTCACGTCGAGAGCAGCACCGCCGATGAGTCCCCCGTGAAGGGCGTCGACGAGGGCATCCGTGTCTATGATGGGTCCCCTTGCGACATTGCAGACGAAGGTCTTGGAGGAGGAGCGGGCGAGGATGTCAAACTGGCGACGGCCGATGCTCCCGCGCGTTGAGTCAGTGAGGGGCATGGACACGACGAGCAGGTCTATGCCTAGGGATAGGAAACTGTCGAGGTCGCCGCTGAACCAGCGCGCGGGAACGACGCCGTCTGGGTCGCCGGTCCCGGGAACCAGGTAGGTAGATCCGGGAGGCAGACGGCGCGACTCGGGTGTCGTCCTCGGCGAGCCGGTGTAGGCGTATACTTGCATGCCCAGGGCCTGGGCGACGCGGCCGACATTACGGCCGACGGAGCCATAGCCGAGGATTCCTCTGCCACAACAGGTTTCAGCCGACACGCCGAAAAGCCATCCATGAAGCCATCACTACCCACATGCGTCTCCCGGCCGAGTCGGCTCTCATGGCGCCCACGTCCCACTCTGCCCTCCACGATGCCTCGTCCCGCTGGACCATGGCGTAGTGTTTCAGGAAGCGCTGGTGGGATAGCCAGGTGCCAATCACCCATTCCGTAATCTGCGGCCTGTTCAACCGAGTCGGGTCAGCCCCAGAGTCCGGTAGCAAAAGGAAAAACGGGAAGAAAAGAAAAGAAGAAGAGAGTAAAGGATTGTGGGTATCCTTTGCAGGTGGTATCCTCGTACGCATGTATCCCACTGATCGAGCAGAAATCCACCGCAGGATCCTTATACTTGGCATGCCCGGCCCAGGAGTCGGACCCCGAGGTCACCATCTGGACGAAGCGCACGTCACGCATCAGCCCCGGTCTCTCGGGCGGGTATATGATGCATAACAATGTGATGCCGTCGAGGACCTCGGCTGACACCTCTTCCAGAGTGCTCAGCCCGCCTGAGGAAAGAATGCGTGCCTTTTCCCAGCGAACCTCCAGGTTGGGGAAGCGGGTCGACACCTTGTCGAGCCATCCTTGGGGTGGGTCGACGGGGAGGAAGACGAGGAGCTTTTCTTTGCCGAGGGCCATTGTTGCGGCTGTTTCCGTTCTAGGTAGATATATAGGTATCTACATACATGCGTGCATAGATATAATATAGGGCGAGCTGCAGATTGGAAGAGTGAGGGGGTCAGATTGGACCGATGAACAAGACGAAGTGAATGGGAGGGAAGGAACCAGTGTTGGGTCGTCCCAGGAAGGAGCGTCCCCTCTCTCCATGTTAATGGCAGCAGTTTATAGCACTGGTGATTGATCAAATATCTTCGTCACAACTCACATAAAAGGCGCGCCCTTCATATCGAATAAGATCAAGAAAGGCCTTCCCCATGTCCGCGTCAGCCTCATCGCCCAATAATACTTGACATTTGACTGGTACGACATGCATAGGGCGCAATGGCTAATAATGGTTCCACTGTTGGTAGACCCCGAGTCCCGAGATGAAAAAGACAACGACCGCTCTTATTATTCGGCTTCCTCGCAGGCTGCTCGTACCGAATATGACACACCTGCCCTTCTCCTGGTATTATTATTATACACTGGCGACCATAGCGTTGTCACTATATCCTTTTGTTGCTGTTGTTGTTGTTGTTGTTGTTGTTGTTGTTGTTGCCGTCGTCGTCTACACATTATATGATAGTATTTTATATGCCTGTGTCAGTCGACTTTCTCTCCGTATTCTCGATGATGCAGTAGTAGAATCAAATCGAGCTGCAGTATTGAATAGTAGTCAAGAAGAAGAAATATATTCCATTCAAGTCTTACTCAACTTTCCGAGTCCCTCATATCACCTCTCATCAAGAGCTTGACATTTCCAAGGAGTCCATGAGAGGGGAAAATGAGGAGAGAGGCGGGAGCCAGGTATCGTAGCGATGCGCTGTGTAATTGTAGGTACGACTATGCAGTTTGCTCTACATCACCTAATATATCGACAGTTGATCATCGCCGCCCTTTGTACCACCAGGTGTGACTGCAAATCCTTCAACATCCACTTCCACGTCTTCTAGGCGTGGTCTAAGTTGACGTTCTTAGATTGCTCGTAAGCACGCGCTTCTGATTCCTGTAGGCCCCAGCGGCTTTCCCCCATCAGGACTCGTGCCGTAGCCTCTGGGAGGTAGCTGTCTCTTTGGACAGGCACCTTCTGGAGCTTATGGGCGATGTTGCGAACCTCTCCGACGAGTTGTTCTACCAGCGACAGCATCAGTACGTTTCGTCCCCCAAAAATCCATGTTCCTCCGTTGAAGCTTCTCCCGCAGGCTGGGCACTTACTGCATATATCAGTGTCAAGGCTCTGGTATGATGCCTTTTGTGTAGGAAGATAGCTGAGCAGCTCTTTGGAATAAGCCGCGGCGACAGTCGCAGCATAACCTTGCCAGATATTGTTCTCGTGGGAGTCGGAATAGTCACAGATACCACAGATAACTATGGATGGAAAATCCATCATGATTCCCGCCGCTTCGGTCTTGAAGCATAGAGCTCCGGTCTCCTCGTATACACGGTCCCGCATCGCCGCGCTTCTCACCGATGTATTCCCAGAAGCGACGATACCGTAGTGTACCTGGGGATATCCTTCCTCTCGCCCAATTCGACTTTGTTCCCACGCGGACGGACACCCGCTGCATGACTTTGCGTCAACAGGATGAGGCTTATCGGGGCGAAAGAGCCGGTCCGTTGACGGACTGGGGCGTCCGAAATTTTGCCGCGTTCTTTTGTTTCGCGAGATGGCCCCGTCGACGTATTCCGGAGACTTGGGGTCATCTGTTATCGCGGCCGCTCTTATACCCGTTACCGCGCCCAAGAGAGAGCGCGGGGGTGCGTTCAATAAGCCAGCTCGCACAAACTTCTCCTCGTGCATCTTTCCAGCATCGTACTGGATCACGCCTCCACAAGTACGTTCGGGATAACTGACCACAACATCCCCTAAACGGACGTCATGGTCATTCGAGGGGATTCCTCCCCCAACGCCGACCATGAGCCCAAGTCGCAACTGAGGGAACGTTCGCTTCATGTTGATGACCGCTGCTGTTGCTGCCGTGGTTCCGGCGGTTCCGAGCTGGGTTATTACAACATGATGCCTACCAATGCGACCCAAGATGTATGAGTTTGGGTCGTTTCCGTCTTGTTCGTGTAGTCCGCCGAAATTCTCGTCCAGCATCTCCTTGGCCGCTGCCAATTCAATGGGCAACACGCATAACCACCCTATCTGGAATTCGCTCAACGCTGGGTGGGACATTGTGGTAGATTTTCCGTAAACTGCGGTCGATGTGTGGACGTTGCTGGTTGAGGGGAAGCTCGTGAAGATGAACGGAGAGTAACACAGGAAGAGCATGATCCTTGGTTTTACATCTCCGCCAGAGCTCAGCGGCAGTGGGAGCAGAACATTTGACGCCGTTCATGTGAAGAAGATGGGTGGATAACAGCGGCTAGCGATAGGTTGTCGATTCGAGAGACCGTTGCATACATGTTCATGCATGCGCCTCGGCCGCGGAACCCCAGGAGCCGGGCCGCCAGACCCTAAAGGGATGACATGAATGGAGCCGGACAGGGACCAGACCCATCTTTTGCCGCTACCATCACGCAGCAGTCGGCGTCAATCGAAACATTACACCATTCTTCATCTCCCTTCTCCTTGTGCGGCAGGTGGATTTCTTCTTCTGTATTCCTACATTTTTCTCCTACTACTCCTACTAAGCAGATCCCTTTCACGTGCTGAAGTAACAATACAATGATAGTCAAGGCCTCGTGGCCAGTCTTCTGGCAAAAGGACATGTTGGAGACGAAGGATGGAACGAGCCATGGAGTCTCTTGTCCTGTTCTGAAGAGTACGGTCTTGTGCGCGCTCTGGTTGTCGTCGTCGTCGTCGTCGTCGTCGCCGTCGTCGTCGTAGCCCAAGTCCATTCCCGGCATGCCGTCTGGTTCCGCCAGTCTCTAGGATGTGTTCATGGTAGTATGTCGGTGAGATCACTTCTGGCCATCACGTTGTCGCTTCCAAAAGCCTTTGGGAATCCATGCGTCATTCGGGGTCCGACCTTGAGGAAGAGCCGGAACCAGCACGAAGCCGAGGTACAGGTGGAAAAGCGGGGCCGGGTTCACTCATCCGGGACACCTGCGCCTCCTGGAGAAGCTTCCGGATTCGTCCGCAACGTCGTGCCGAAGAAAAAAGGTCAGGCTTCTTTCGACAAAGGCCCATCGCATCCTGTCGACGGCAGCACGGGAGGTGGCGCTGCCACCTGAGCTCGGCAGGACGCGGACCCAAGCCCTCCCGTCGTCCGGCGCGTTGTATTTCCCGTCGAGCAAGTTGACCTTGGAGACGATGTGTATGCGACCGGCATTGAGCTCGTGGCAGTCCTCTTTGGCGCAGCGACCCTCCCGTAGTATGAAGCGAGCCTCGGTGTTGCTGAGGTCCAGGGGCGCAATCTCGATAATGTTGTCCTCCACCCAGTAGCGAAACTCGCGCGCCGACTGTTGCAGTCTTACCTCCAGCGGCGCAGCGCAATCCGCATGCACCATCCAGCTCTTGTCGACCTCGCCGACCTTGACGGACCAGAACTCGCGGGCGTTGGGGAACCAGAACCTGTCAAAGATGACCTGGCCGAAGCGCTTCTGGTGGTAGCATGTCGTGAGGTACTCCGAGTACAGGTCGGGGAACTTGATGGATTCCTCGTCAGGGGCGCAGTCCCAGAATACAACCCGTTCGACCCGGGGCGCCAGCTTCTCGGTAGTCGGGTCAGGATGAGTCTGGTCTGCTAGCCGGTAGTCGCAGACGAGTATGTCTCGTGAGAAATCAAAGTAGGATCCGCGGCCGACAGGCTCATAACCATCTCGCGATTCGCTACGCGCCTCCGCGTTGAGCTGCGTCACCACCGGTAGCGGGTACGACTTGGCCTGGTGGACGAGATCGTTCAGCAACACGATGCGCGGCTCGACAGAGCACGACCATATCTTGAGCCGCAGTTCTGAGGGCAGGCGATCAAGGCGAATCGTGGGCGCTGTCGGGGTCGTCACTCGTCGTTGCGACGCATTTTCTGATGCGACCGTCATGGTTGGATCTCTCGGGATAGGCGGCCCATTCGATGAAGAAACTTCTCTCAAGGCACGTGGTGTCTGTAACCAAGGATGATGGTGAAGAGGAGGACCTGGCCGGACCACCTCGCCCATTGAGCCAGTTGACAAAATGGGTGCCCCTTTATTAGACAGGGCGGTGTGACGAAGATGGCAGGCGGCATCACCCCGCCCATAATCGGTGTCAGGCTTGGTGGCGGGAGTCGCGCGTCCGTTTTCGGTCGATGATGGTTAGCAGACGGTGGCGCGTGAAGCCATCGCGAAGGGGAGTTCGTCTTCGACGGTCCACAGTGACACTGGTATATACAATCCACAGAGCAATCCAAGGTGTGGTCGTACATTCTCACCGAAGGTCTGAGACTCGAGCACAGCCCACTGCAGCCTCTTTCCCTTTCAGTACTCAAACACGCAGCCACTTCGTCGGCCCTCACCGTCGCGCGTGTGGCCAGTTGGCAGCAGCGACCTGCACGTGCTGCTGGTAATACGGTACGCGTACGTACAAGTACGTGGTACAAGCCGAAGGGGGCGGGGACCCTTGTAAGGCTTATGCCATCGCGGAGCCTGGGCACCGACTTGGTGGTTCCTGGTTCCCCCGGACAAGCAAACCCTGTCTTTTGTTGGGTCTGCAAGGTGCTCATTACTCACACGAAGACGGACGACAGCCCCAAGGACGAAGGCGGCCAGCCTAAGCAGAAATCTAATTGGGACCCACGCTCAACTCGGGTGTCTGCAGCAGTGCAGCGCCGGGAGCGGGACGGGGACACTGGGGTGGGTTACCAATCAATCCGCGGATCATGTCTCACCTGCCTAGCCAGCAGCAGCGGACCGTCGAATCCACTAGGAAACCGCAGTGCAGGTACTCAGTAATACGCATGATACTGAGCACTCCTCCGTTTGCGTCGCATGCAAGTGCAACCAGGATCCTGCATCGGTGGTCAGTACCGTACATAGGGGCAAATGATTACTTATCCCTACGAGTACTCGTAAAGCCACACGGCCGAAAGAGGGAGCTCATGCGGTGCTCATGCGCGCACACAATAAGCTGAATCCCGGCCCCGCACCCGTGCACCGCGGTCGCACTCCCTCTCAGAGGCGACTACTCGTATGCCTCTCGTCTGGTTGCTCGAGAAAGTCGTTGATCAGCTTCGCAAAGTGACCGGCATATTGGTACAGAAACCCATGGCCGGAATCGGGATAAAGATGCAGGTGTGCCCCAGCGTGACGAAGCATCTTCCACATCAGGATGCTGTTCTCCGTCGGCAGCAATAGGTCGTCGCAGCCTGCCATAGACACACAAGCACGCGTTAGGCTGCAATGAGGAGCATATCAGGTCGTGTCGAAGACTCACCATTGGCGACCAAGACAGGAAGCGTCAGCTCCTGGAATCTATCATATGTCCCTTCGTGTGGCATGTTTGGGTCCATGAATCTGGCAAATGCCACGGCTTGTCTATGGACGGCATTGGGCGTCATGGCTACTCGATGCTGCCGAGCGTCGGCAATACGATTCCACGATGCTATGCCAGCAGCCCGGCTCCGCTTCGACTTGGTAAAGAAGCCATCCAGGAACGCATTCCGGTGCTGCGCCGCCGTGCTGGCCGCCTTGAGTCGGTTAAAGGGGCCTAGGGGAGCTTTCGTCACTCCCTCGCCGGTGCTTGGAGTGGTGCCGCAGAGCACCAGACGGCGTACCATTCCGCGGGGAGCATTGAGGGCCACAAGTTGGGCAACGCATCCACCCATGGAAAAGCCCATAACGTCAACCTGCTGGATACCCAGGGCGGACGTGACGTCCACATAATGCTGCGCCCATGTCGTCAGGGATTTGGGCACCTCACCGCCAGATCTCCCCACGCCGGCATTATCGATGAGCAAGACAGGTCGGGCCTGGGCTAGCGGGTCGACGAGAGCTGGATCCCAGTCGTCCATGGTCCCCCTTGGATACTCCCAAGCTCGGTCAGCGGGACTCATGATTAGTACAGTAGTCAGCCCCCATCGGGAACGTCGGAAAAGGGATACCTGAAGTGCATCAGGAGCATGAGGGGCACCCCGTATTCACGCCCAAGTTGTCGGTAGGCGAACTTGATGTCTCCAACCGTGACAAATCGGGTTTCCGCATCCTCAAACATCGCCATTGCGTCGTCGGTTTGTCGTCATGGAAATTGTAAGGATAGGGAAGACGAGAGTTCGTTCGCCCCCACTCATTTGATAATTTCGAAGTCATATGGAAGGTGTGAGGGCCGAGACTGGCCGCTACCTGACGTCAGCAGGTTAATGGTGGTTTAAATAATAAGTAAAAAGTTCGGCACGACGTATCGAGTTTTACATGAGAACAATTATAACAGMAAAAAAAAAAAAAAAAAAAAAARAAAARAAAARAAAARAAAARAAACCCGAACGATATTGGACGGAGATCTTGTCTGCTAGTGCCAATTAAATCTAGGAAGTAATCATGTCCAATATATTACTCGTGTTAAATTTGCATGTGTAACTACTGCTACTGTTGATACACACAAAGTTCCGACGCCATATGCACTCCAGGGTATGTACAAGACAAGCCAGCGTGGGGGTGATCAGTGGATTGAGCTCAAGGACAGCCAAGCATCTGTTGATCCATCATCATCAAACATCTCATGCACCGACAAAGAAGGGGTACTGACGTGTGGCAAGGTCCGCCGACTGCATGCGCTCAGTAAAAGATGCCGTCGAATACGGATGACGATGAGAGCGAGGCGCCCTTCCCAACGCTAGATTACGATGGCCCCCCCACCTTCAACTCGCACCTATCCCCCAACGATGCCTTCATGTCGCCTCCGCGGCGAAGTGGCGGCACGGCTTCGGCACGAGCCTTCACGAAGCGTATGGGTGGGGAGCACGGCGCAGGAAGACGACGGAAGCGTGCGTGGAAGAAGCTGATGTGGGTGAAGCAGTCGTGTACGTGCACCTCTTGCCTCCTAACCCTCGATGGCGGAAGCAGGTCAAGTCAAGTCAGAGTACTGATGAGAAGGATGGCGACAGACCCGGACAACTACACGGACCAGGCAACTTTCCTCGAGAACCTACAGAGAAACCCGCGGCTCAAGCCATACGATTTCTGGCCCCTGGTGGCCGACTCGACCGTGATCCTGCAGCATGTGTGCTCCGTCATCATATTTGTCGTGTGCTTCGCGTGCATCTTCCAGGAGCGCGTGTCACCGGTGTCGATAGTCGAGTGCAGCAGCGTCATGACGTTTTCCGGCTGGCTCCTGTGGGAGCGCTGGGTATCGGAGGAAGAGAAGGTTGACGAGTCGGGAAACAACAACGCTGGCGGCGGCGGGACGGGCATCGCCGGCACCTGCATCGGTACGGGTGGTGGAGCGGCCAATGCCATCATCGGCCGCAGCGGTAGCCGTCGCAATAGGGCTGCGAGCCTGCGCCGGCCGATTGTCCTACAGTCACAGACGAGGGTGTCCTCGTCGTCAACGGCGTCGTCGGCCCCCTCATCGCGACCCGAATCGTACGACGCCTCGGCCACCAGCTCATCGAACCATCTGCCGGCCACCACAAAGATCACGGCTCCTCCTCCGACGGCAGCATCCGCACCGGCTACGGCGGCGACGGAAAATTCAACGCCAAACGGGAGCCAGGAGGCGCTGCACCAGCATCAGCAGGCGCAGGGAGCGGATGTGCCGCTGTTTGAACCGGAGGACGACAGCCCGATCCACCAGCGCCTGGGAACCATCAAGTCTGCGGCGCTCATCTACTCGACGCTGTTGGGTCTGAGCCCGATCCTCAAGTCCCTGACGCGGTCCACGTCGAGCGACAGCATCTGGGCCATGTCGTTCTGGCTGCTCGCGATCAACATATTCTTCTTCGACTACTCCGGCGGTGTGGGCGTCAAATTCCCCGCCTCGCTGTCGACCAACGCGGCGCTGATGGCGTCGACGGTGCTGGCCAGTCGCCTCCCGTCGACGAAGCAGGTGTTTAGCATCACACTCTTCAGTATCGAGGTCTTCGGGCTGTTCCCCGTCTTCCGCCGCTACGCACGCCACCGCAGCTGGCGATATCACGTCATCCTGACGGTGCTCCTCGTCCTCGGCGCAGGTCTGGGCGTCGGGCTCGTCATGGGCGAGGGGAAGAATGGCAGTCCCTGGTCCTGGAAGAGTGGCATCGTCGGCATGGCCGTCAGCGTCATCCTTTCGGTCCTAGGAACCGGAGGATGCAGCTGGTGGCTCATCGGCCTCCAAAAGTACAAGAATGAGATACACGGGCCCTGGGATCCTGCCAGGCCCATCATCATGAGTCGCCAGCGGTGGGACGACAGGTAATACATCACTCTATAGTATATACAATTAGACTTTCTCTCTCTCTCTCTCACCATATCCGTGCTCTTTCCGCCTTTTCCTTTTTTTTTCTTTCCTTGTCAGGCTCCGCGTATCTAGGTGAAGCTGCGATTTCCTTTTCCGTCGTCACAAGGACATCTTCTCTCGTACATGTGACGCAGGTGCACCCAAGGTTTTCTCGATGACGACTTGTCTCCATCAAGATTTAGCACTTGCTCTCATATGAATAGGTAAAGGCGGGGGGGAGTAGAGCAGGAAGAGAAAGAAGTAGAAGAAGAAAAGAGTTTAGCTGGTGTCACTGAATGGAAGAAACGGATATGTATGCCGTGTGTGCCACGAGATAACCTCGTTCCCATGTTTTATTATGGGGAAGAAACCGCTGACATGGCCGTCAACGTCATCGATACGTGTAATGGATGATTTGTATGATGGAGAGAGCCTAGGCGCTCGGCCTTGGTTTGCCGACTTAGCGGAAGCTAAGTATGATTTTTCTCTTTCTTCTTCTTCTTTTTCTTCTCCCCAGACAGAACTACGTAATGGCAAAAGAACCTGGATACCGTATCCTCGGACCGGGAGCCGAGCGTTGTGAATCGATGTTTCTTTCAGCTGAATATAACAGTCATCATACTGGTTGGTGATAGTGCCTTGTCCGTCAACTTCCGTCAGAGTGGAGGATGCATAATAATAATAATGATATATACATTTTACACATTTTGAGGACATCACATCCGTCTAGTTCTGATATACGTCGTCGTTCATGGCCGTCCCAAGACTGCCGGTTAAAGAGAGCATGTACAATGACTCTCCCTCCCGACAATGAGTTCAAGGACACCCTAAAAGACAAGACACAGATCGATCGTTCAGCTCCATCAGCCGACGGGTCTTAGAGACGGGAGACGGCCCAGATGCGGGGAGACGGCGCCAGATGTTTTTGGCACCCAGCTGTTCGGTTGAAGACTAACTTTTCCTGTATTCAGCGTTGGGGAGTCAGATGCAGCCAGTCATATCTCGGCCGTGAGAGCGACATACACACACACACACACACACACACAGAGAGAGAGAGAGAGAGAGGGAGGGAGGGAGGGAGAGAGTGATACTAGCTAGCATGCTGATAATAATATGTATGTAGAGTGTGGAGCCTTCCGTCCATATGCTCGGAACTAAAGCCTCATCCGGGACTAACACGGACGAGCTGAATTTGGAATGTCACCGTCATGGACATGATCGAGAGACCCGGCTTATAAGAGAGTCATGCTATAACTCTCGGCCTACTCACCCTCTCTATATTGCCTTCTCAAGATCCCCCTCCGTAGCTGCCGGTTCTTTTACCACACAAATTCTGTTGATCTTCTTGAAATCTTCTTAGTCCTCTACGCCTGCATAAAAACCATCTCGTCTGTTCGACTTCGCAACCACCCGCAACCATGAAGGCCAGCTTCGTCTCCCTCCTCGCCATCGTCGGCCTGGCCTCTGCCGCCAGCAGCCTCCCCACCTGCGCGGTATGTCCCCCTTCCCAACCGCTGCCATGGCATCTAATTGCTGGAACTGACAGATGATACAAGGTCAAATGCGTCAGCTCCAACCTCTCCCAGGGAGGCTGCTCCTCCATAACTGATACGACGTGCCTCTGCGGCGCCATCGACAAGATCTACACCGCCTCCGAGTCGTGTCTCAAGAGCTCCTGCTCCACCATCAAGCTCAAGGCCGCCCAGGCCGCCGTCTCCGAGGCGTGCGGCAAGTCCGTCGGAGGCTCGTCGTCGTCGTCGTCGGCCTCGTCGGCCTCGGGATCCGGCTCGTCGTCCGCCACTGCCACGTCCTCGGGCTCAGGCTCCGGCGCGTCGAGCGCTACCAGCACTGGTACCAGCAGCGATAGCAGCGAGACGGCCAGCAGCTCTGGCGGAAGCGGTGGCTCCAGCACCGACTCTTCGTCTGGATCCGAGGCTTCCTCGACTGCTGGCTCTGACAGCGGCGGCTCCAGCGCCGGTGATAAGCCTGCCGTCGGCGTGGCTGTTGCTTTCGCCGCCCTGCTTGCCGCTCTGTAGGGGATTCGGAGAAACGAGGCTCTGTCTCGCTGTCTAGAGGGGACAGAAATGGTAACCGGGACGGAGCTGCATTCTGTATATCGTCGACTTGATTAGCTCGTTAATTTACTACGTGTAGCTAGTCGTCACCGCCATGAGAGAAGCCATCCTTTTTTTTTCTTTGCCTTGACAGATAAATCCCGAGTGCTTCTATGTTGCCGGTGGCAAATCTATATCAATGATCCAAGGGGGCTGTACAGGTCTATAACTGATGTCCATGATGGCTGCGTTGACGAACAACGTCTGCTCCCCAGGATCAACCCTGTGTACCCCCTGCGTCAAGTCCAGCTCCATGCCCCTCCGTCTTGCTATATCTCTCAGCTTGGCCATCTTCTCATTCTGAACGTCCTGGCTATCGGTAGTGAGTGGCCTCATGGTATCCAGGTTGGCCACAGTCTTGGACGCTTCAGCGTCTATACCTTCGGGCGAGAAACTCTCCTTCCACCCAGCCAAGTAGGCACCCCAAGCCTCGTGGATGTGGCCGAAGCAGTGGACACGGGGCTTCGCCCGTCGCACAGCCGCGTACAGATCCCGGCACCCGGCACGCTCGGAGCGACCTCCCCCGCCAGCCAGGTCGAGGACTCCATAGGGCGGGCCGTGGGTCATGGCGATGTCGACGCCGGGCGGGATGGCGAAGCTGTGGCCCTGGCTGTACTGGAAGGCCCAGTAGCCGTACTGGGGCGTCCATGGGCTCGCGTAGACGGACAGTCTGGCCCCGTTGTCGAGGTCGAATGTGTAGGTGCCCTCGTCTAGGTAGCGGACGCCGTGGGACTCGGCGTCCTTGACGATCTTGGCGGCTGCATCCGCGGACGAGGTGTCGGCAGAGATGTCTTCGTACCTAGGGTCCAGGCAGAGGTCGTGGTTCCCCGCAATGACGATCTTGAGGGGTGCGTCGATGTCCTGGATCATGCTGAAAGCATCCCGGAGCTCCTGGGGTCTCCCCCGTCTCGTCAGATCGCCGGCGTGCAGCACAACGTCGGCTGGGGGTAGGGGGACGCGGTACCCCGTCACAGCATGGCCGTAGGATCTGGGATCGAACAGCTCCTCATCTAGCCCTCCGCTCGACGGCTTGGGAGGTGCGGCGTGTGTGTCGGATATGATGAGGATGCGCGTCTTGATGGTGGCCATGACTATCCTCTGTCAATGGCGTCGACGGGTAGAGAAGACAGCAGAGCTGTGTGGGTGGGATGTGCGGTCTTGGTTGTGTGTGTGCCTATCCTGTTTCGTGGTCGGATGAGGTGTTTCGTAGAGGGCGATGAGCCGATGTTGCTGCCTGCTTCCTGATGACTTCCATGACATTATATAATGAAGCTGGTGAGTGAGGGAGTGGCGACAGGTGACGACACTACGTTCATACGCAATACATGTTGGTTGACTGCTGAATTGTGTCAGGTTGGCATGGAATTGCATGTAAATATTCCCTCTGGTTTTATGTAAGGTGAACTATCTGGTTTCGTGCAAAAAGAATCGATATTTCGTCCTCTTTTCGTGTTAAGTTTTTGGTCATCTACGCCCTCTTGTTGCTGTTGCCCGCCATCTATATCAAGTGGAGGGATTATTACGAGTATTGCTGTTACGGATTACTGTAGGGAAAGACACTATTAATAATGACAATCAGTGGAGCTCCAAATCTCCAACCAACCGGCCATTTATTTCATCACAGCGACAACGCACATCCACCCACCTACCCAGACATTGAAACCTCGACCTCAACCTCCGTCACAGCCCGGAAACAGCCATTCTCTTCTACGCCGCTCCTCTGCCAAGCAGGACTCGACCCTACGCAATGTCTGCTGAACCTTCCGCCCCCGACGTGACAATGGGTTCGCCGCAGCCTCCTCCCTCGGACGGCCAAGAGCCAAAGTACGGCGGCTTCAGCCGCTTCGAAATCGAGCTCGAGGTGAGTTCTCCCCATCCATTTCCCTCCCCCTCCGAGGGGTCACCCCTGGCCGCTGACTCTGGGCCACGCCAGTTTGTCCAATCCCTCGCCAACCCCTTCTACCTCAATCACCTGGCCGCGCAGAAGTTCCTCTCCCAGCCCGCCTTCATCGCTTACCTCGACTACCTGCAATACTGGTCGCGCCCTCCGTACCTGCGATACCTGACCTACCCGGGTCCCACGCTACGACATCTCGAGCTGCTACAGCAGGAGCGGTTCCGGCAAGACATCATCAGTCCCGATCTGGTGCAGAAGCTGGTGGAGGACGAGATGCGCGCGGCTGTAGAATGGCACCAGGAGGCATAGACGGCGACTCATCGGTACCCGAAAACGATTACTACGAAACTGCGATACCCGGGGAAGAAGGAAGGAGGCCAGTGTGCTATTGCATTCGGTCCTGTTTGAAAATGCTTCACATGCTTGGAAAAATGAAAACGCCAGCGCCTCCCTCGAGCGAAAGAAGAGAAAGAGAGAGAATAAAGAGAAAGAAGGCGGAAGAATCAGATCAGTTCTCCCTCCACCGATGCCCACAAGCCATGCACTTGTAGAAGCTCGTCATAGGCTCGTCTGCACTGCGGATCTGCACCTGGAAGAAGGCAGCCTCTTCGCCGTCGCAGCCGTCGTTGGGGCACTGCACCCTTCCCTTTTGCGCATTGTCCCACGCTCCAGGCCCGCCGAATACATCCTCCTTCTCCTTGCGCTCGTATGCTCGTCGCGAGAAGACGGGGTCGACGATGGGGTGCTCAAAGGGGCATGTTCGACACTCGAGACGGTTGGTGCCCTGGTTCGTGAGGGACACGGTGAGGATGTTGGCGCAGTGGGGGCAGACTAGAGTTCAGAGTTAGTTGAGAAGCTGGTCAGAGTAGGAGAATGGGGGTGAATAGCTTACAGAGGAGCATGATTGTCGTCCAGTCCCAGTGTTGTTGTTGTTGTTGTGTATTGATTAGCAAAAAGAGAGTTGAGACATTCAAAAAGAAAAGAAGTAAAAGAGAGAGAAGGAAAAAAATATTCCTTCGTCATCAGTGGGGTTTCCCTAGTCGGAAAATGGCCCCCAAGGTATTAAGATCAAGATCCCGCATTGTCAGTACATCTAATACATTGATATTATAGCGCAGCATCTGCTACAACAGTTGAGAAAGGCATCCATTGGAGCCTCTATGGCTGCACGTCCACTGTAACCGCTGACCCCGCCGCTCGGGCGCTTGGGGGTCATCAATGTCTGTCCCCCCCCCCCCATCTTCCATCTTCCAGGAACCCCGCCACAATTCCTACGTATCTACCCGTCCATCATCTGTCGCAACCTTGTGCTGCAATCTTGTTTATGCAAACCTCCTGAACCCTTTTTCTTTTTCTTCTTCTTCTGTTTCTTTCGCCCCCTCCCCCTTTTTTAGACTCTTTTGGAGTCTTTCCCTCTCGCGAACTGTCCGCTCCTCGGTGAACCCTCCCTATACATACTCTGTTACACACACACACACACACACACACCACGCACAAACGCACAACTCTCTCATCATGGCCGAAGACGAACACGAGGTAAACCTGGACCCCGCTCGACGAGAAGACAAGAGGAAAAGGAGGAAGAGAAAAGAAACAAGGGAACAGCCGAAGAAGACTGACCTCATTTTCTGGACTGTTAGGGAGCTTCCATCCAGGAGCAGCTCATCGCCGCCTGTCGCGGTAACAACACCGACCTCCTAGAAGAGATTCTGGAGGACAAGCCCGACGACGTGATCTCCAAGCTTCTGAACGAGACCGTCACCGTTCTGGGCAACCATCTCTATCACGAGGCAGCACTACGAGGACATTGTACGCTTTACAGTCTCTCCATTCTTTCTTGCTCTCCTGTTTTTCTTTCTTCCCCCCACCACCTTCCTTCCAATCTACACCTCCTGACCTTGGGCTGACGCCTTGTCCGTGAACAAAAAAAAAAAAAAAGACGAAGTAATCGACTTCCTCCTCGATCAACCAGACTTTGAATGCGACCCCGTCACCCGCATCGAGGGTGACACCCCCCTCCACTCCGTCATCCGCTGGCTCAACGACGAGCCCGCCGCCCAGCGACCCTTCGGCAAGGCCCTAGTGGAGATGATGCTCGAGGCCGGGTCCAACCCCCGCGCACGGAACCGTCAGGGCGTCACCCCCTGGCAGCTCGTCGACCCGTCCAACCAGGAGCTCAGGGACGTCATAAAGCAGCACGAGTTCGCCTCGCAGAATGCCGGCGACTATGTCAACGCCACACCTGCCGCGAACAAAAACAAGGACAACGACAGCAAGATCTACGACGACGGTGTCCAGGCTGACGACGACGAGAGTGACGACGACGCCGAATTCAGTGGGAGCGATGATGATGAGAGGGCTGAGTGGGAGCGTAGACGCAAGGAGAAGAGGGGTTGAGGCCCCTGATGCAGAAAATGAGACCTGTGGTTCATTTGGATTTATATGAACATTTTGCTATTGGCGTTTGGAAGATTTGAAAACCAAAAAAAAAGAAAGGTCTTTTTTTTTCTTTTAGAAAAATGTATATTGCATTTCCTCTCTTGTTTCTCCTTCTTCTTCTAGATCTTGTTGCATAGGCTGGTGCTGTGAGCGAGTTTATCTTATGTTGCCAGTGGGTGGGAAGGAAAGTATGTGATTCCTGTGGTCTGTGTTCATATGTCCAAGTCTTCACCGGGATGGCTGATCAAATCTTTTGAGTCTCATTTGCTATATATCATCTGCCCATAAAACCTTTAGGCGCGAGAATAGAAAACGAGATAGAAAACATGGACTTACTCCCTCCCCTACCGCGGAATTAAGAAGAAACAAGAGAGAACAAAAAGTGTCGGCAGTGGCAAGAAGGTGTAGAAAGAAGAAGAAAGAACAGGGGGGAAACAGGGGGGGAAAAAGGGCAGCTAGTCTAACGTAGAGAGATGCATCGTCTGTTTCTTCCAAGCCAACCTTACAGGGTATCTCTTTTTTTTTATGGTCAGGGTTTTTGAAAAAGGGTGTCAAGGTAGCGAGGTAGTAATAATGTATGTAGTGGTACATTTTTCGGGTGTACTTGAATTCTGTTGAATTCAAGACAGAGTCCCCTTCCTCAACTACCCTACCTGAACCTCGCTCGGCAGCGACCCATAACCTCTCCCTGGCAGACGAGCTCGGCGCTGAACTCGGACCCGTCCAGGGTCAGGTAAATGTCAAAGTAGACTCTGTAAAAGGTTCCCTGCGGCGTGTCCATGCGCTCAAAGTCCTTTTCCAGGTTCTTGCGCGACAGGTCCGACGTGAGGGTGACGACTTCCTTGATGCCTATGGTGGTCGCAGAGTTAGCAGATTGCTCGGTGAGTGAGCGGAGAGAAGGGAGTGGCCGGATCGAGACGTACGAGGATCCTTGGTGTATTCGGGGCAGACATCGTCATCACAGGCGTAGAGGACATCCTCGTACATGAGGGTGGCTCCCGGGGCAACCTGTCGGAAGAACGAGACCTTGACGGGCTCTCCATTCTTGACCCTCTGGCCCTTCTGGACAAAGATCTGCCTGGTAAACTTGCAGCGGTCCTTTCCGTCGAGAGAGGGCACGCGGTACGCCTCGGGGTGGTATCCCTCCTTGAAGGGCTGGAGCGTGGCCATGAGGTAGTGGCGACGGGCGACGCGGTGGGTGACGATGCGCTCCGAGATGCCGGCGGTGACGGCGCCCTTTACGATGGCGGCGACCGAGTCCATTGGGCGGACGACCTTGGACTGGAACTGGGGCGGCACGTGGAGCTTGATCTGCTGGAAGAGGTACTCGGAGGCACCGAAGCCACCGACGACGAGGATGTTCTGGAGGGCGCGGTTCTGCGCCTGGATGGCGATGATCTGGTTGCGGACCAGCTCGAGGATGCGATTCACGACGGGCTCGAAGCACTGCAGGATCTCCTCGTTGGTAAAGGTCATGTAGCCCTCCTCGATGCCGGCCTCCGGGAACTCGGCCTCGATGCCGACGTCGACGGCCCACTTCTGGCCGTTGTTGCGGAAGTCGGCCTTGATGCGGTTCTCAAAGTCCATGATGCACTTGGCGTAGACGCGGCCGGCCGTCTTGGACCCGTCGGGGAGCTTCATCTTGCGGATCTTGGTGCGCAGGATGTTGCTGAAGTTGCGGTTGAGCGCCGTGGAACCGCAGGAGTCGCCGGATCCGGCCGTGCACTCGGACACGGTGAAGGGGTTCTCGTCCTCGACCTCGTACGAGATGAGATCGACAGTACCACCACCGCAGTCGACGATGAGCACGGCGTCGTGGACCTTGAGGTTGAGCAGGCCCGTCTTGGAGCAGAACATGGCGGCAGCCTCGGGCTCCGAGATGAGCGTCAGGCGGTTGTCGTTCTCGTCGCGCAGGAAGCCGGCTTGGATGGCGGCGGCGCGCGTGGCGGCCTTTCCTGCGTCGTTCCAGATGGCCGGGACTGTCAGGTAGTAGCGGATGTTGCGCTCCTCACGGTTGAAGACCTCGCCCAGCGTCTTCTGCAAGGCCGAGCGCATGGCCTGGCGCAGCTTGAACAGGTAGTCGGCGGCCACGTCGATCTCCGACTTGCCCGGGGGCAGCGGTGGCAGGTTGATGGGGTCAATGTAGGTGTTGCCGCTGAGCATCAGCTGCAGCTTGAACCACTCGACCTTTTGCACGCCGGGCTTGGGGTAGCCGGTAGGGGCCAGGGCGTCGGCGATATCGGGGCCCCATCCCACCACCTTTTGGTACTGATCGTAGTACAGAACGGTGGGGATCTTGTGCGATGGTCAGTCTCAAGTGCCATAGCTGTGTTGCCCGCTCCTTTCTTCTTCCCCCGCTCACCTTTTGCTTGGTATATGAGCCGGCACCGGGCCACTCGGTAATGATGTCTTCCTTGGCTTCGTTGTTCGTGGCAAAAGCGAATGCGACGCCGGAGAAGGTGGTACCCTGCGACGAGTTAGCTCAACCTTCTCGGTTCGGGTCTCTCCTCCGTATCGTCCTCCACCGCGACCGGGAACACGTACAAAGTCGATTCCGACGATGAGCTGCGACTTGCTCTTGCTAGAGCCCTCAACCTCGGCAGCCGGGTTCCCGTACTGCTGAGCAATGGGACCACCAGCCGGCGGGGGGGGTCCGGGGGGGTAGCCGCCGCCGCCGCCGCCATAGCCGGCGGGGTGGCCGCCCATGGCGTGAGGGGGCGGGTATCCGGCAGGAGCAGTGTTGATGGGGGGAGGCCCGCCGACCATCTGGCTGGGGGGTGTCCTGTTCTGACCGTGGTGGCTGCTGCGACCCACGGGGGTTCCGGGAGGGGGAGGACCACCCTGCTGGTAGCCGGGCGAGTAGCCTGGAGGAGGGCGGTTGTTGGGGTTCATGGCGAGACCTGTGGGCGATGGCGAATGGCCGATGGAAGGAGGGGGAGGCGACGTGGTGCCACTGCCGAGGGCGGCTGGCGGGGCGGACGATGAAGGCGGGGGAGGCGTATTGTATGTGCTTGTCGTTGTGGTGCTGCTGCTGTGAGCGGATGACGGCGGAGGAGCACCCTGAAAGCTGGCGGCGGACTTGCGTTTTCCAAAGCCAAAGCTCTTGAGGCGAGAATTCATGGAGCTCATAAGGATAGAGAGAGGAGAAAGTGAAACACGGGACAGAAAACTTCTACCCAGAGGGTAGAGAAAACGGTGGGGAGGGAGGAGAGGGGTTAAGGGCACGGACAGTGACGGAGTGAGAGAAAGGGAAGGAGAGAAGAAAGTATGAGGAGGAGGAGGAGTAATAACGTGTGTCTAAGAAAGGACGCCTGGGCTAAATGAATGGCTTACGGCGTTTTGGATGCAACAACGGACAATGGAGGGGAGGGGTTGGTGTGAGGGGCGGAGAAATAGGTGAGAAAGCGGGCGCGGGACAGTCAATATGGGGAATCAGACCCGCCGCAGCAGCTTGCTTTCCAGGTTGGCCAGTACGAGTGTTACGGGTAAAGGTCAGTATCTCGGGTTGATAATACTGGCTCTATCCTCTCTAAGCTGGCCTGTACAGTACCTACATATACGTAGACCACCGCGTACAGGTATGGATGATGGAGGCTGCCCGTAACCAGCAAGTACCTCCCGCCCGTCCATAGGACTCGAGACGCACGATAGCGGGGCGACTCTCCCCTGGGCCCCGGGCCCTGGCTCGCTGTCCCTGGCTCACTGTCTCACTGGTTAGGTCACCGGCCGGACGCTCCTTTAGGCTGGCTGGGCTTGGTCAACAATTCCTGGGCGCCCAGCGAAACAGCTCGTTTGGCGATGGAGGCTATACGAGTCGTAGATCGTATTGAGCCAACACAGCACCGCACACGCGCCAGGGCATTAGAGCAGGCGCAGTATTGCTACTCCGTAAGGAATGGCGGAATTATTCGATGTCACCCATGGGTTGCGGGTTGCAGATATCTCGGTTTCAGCATCACAGGTATACTCGTACAGATCTGTACGTGTAGTTCAACTGTGCCCTTTCGTCTCTCAACACACACACACACACACACCGCCTTATACGGTATGATGAACCAATCTCTAGTACATGATATTATATATTACCATACTCAATACATTTTCTTATTTTTATTCTTCACCACTGCCGCACATGTCCAGCACGCCGTAAGCAAGAAAATATCCCAGCAACTGCTGCTGCTGACATATTCTCCCCTTCATCATCGCAGCATTCCCCGGAAAAAAAACTTGATCAGCATCCTTGTACCATTAGATCCCTCCCACGGATGAAATCCTTCCTTCCGACCCTTGTCTGTCCCCGACTTACATGTACTCGTACTACTTGGCAGTACGAGTATGGCCATCCTTTCAGTCGCCGGTGGCTGAGCCTTGGCAGCCTTAGGTACTAAATTAGGCCAATGAGCTGCGCCACCCGGTCGCCGTTACATACTCGTAGTATGAACAGGAGTACGAAAGGGGAGGAGGTTGTGATAACTCATGTAATACTTGTAGACGGCAGCGATGCTAACGATGCGGCATTCAGGATCTGTCATACGATTCTTGAAAGATTGAACGTAGCAGCAGAAGAAGTAGGCGCAGGTAAGGCTGAACCCCCGAAGAAAGAGGGGTCCAGTGCTGCAGCAAGAGCGATATTATTAATGGCAGCAAACTGCGGAGCGTCGTACATCCCATCCATGTCCCTCTCTACTCGTACTCGTACATGTTCAATCCTAGGAATTGTCTCTTCTCCTGTCCAATTGGGGGGGGGAGTTGTAGTGTGCCCTTCGTCCATCCATGACACAGACAAGGCACAAAGGGCGGCTACGGGGAATTCCTCTCTCTGCTCGGACTCGTACGTGCTCTTGTCTATCCCTCCTCCACCCATGGGTAGATGCATGTACATGTATTCTGCTCGGAGTGATACCGTGAGCGCTATAAATGTTATCTAGATAACTACCTAATCAGAAAGGAGAAACGATTCGTCGTGATACCCAAACTCACCACGGTTAGGAACAAACAAACAGACAAGCCATTGCATCGTATTACTCGTATGTCTTGCTCAAATATCCTACCACATGTACTACTACAAACTACTACAAACTACTACTACTACTACTACTACTACTACTACTACTACTACTACTACTACTACTACTACTACTAACTACTACTACTCCTACTACTCCTACTACTACTAACTATTACTACTGCTACTACTCCGTTACATACGAGAGTACCGAGAGGCCATGACAAATTGTTCGCCAAGACTTGTTTATGGCTGTGCACGAGAGTATGCCTGTGCGCTTTGCGTGTGGGACCAGACCTGTTTGGGGTTGCCAATGCCAGATTTACGAAGGAGAGGGCCGAACACCGAGAAAAGTATTGATTCATGCTCGTACGCTAATAATAATCATACCGACTGAAATTTAGAGTACGCCGCCACCCTTCAGCACCCCACGTTGTCCTTAGCGTTCCGTGCACTCAGTATTATATTACGTCGGTGCAGCGTGCCCTTCGAGGTTGAAGTGAAAATGATCAGCATCGTCATTACCCACTGCGGCTCCTGCTCAAAACCTCGGTTTCGAGAGAATAGGTCTACTCTTTCTCGATCCCGGGACAGCGTTCGGGTTCGCTTTCGACTTGTAGTCCCCGGAAATGAAACACGGCATGCCCATACCGCATGCTGCTAGTAATAGTACATACGATACTCCGTATACCTACACGAGCGTCGAGTAGTGGACTGTTATATATTACTCCGTAGCAGTACTCCGGTACCTGCGGCCTGTGACATTTGACGTCGGTAGTACGCCGGGAGACTGATCGATACACTGGCGCTGATGGTTTTGATAGACAGTACGCCTTACCTCTACGAGTAATAGTCCGAATACTAGCTAGTAGCTACTCCGTAATACACTCTTTTTTTAGAAACACACATAGCATACTCTCTCTCCCCAGCACTCTACAGACTGCAGCTATCAACTGCAAACCCCCTTCAGGCTCCCTGTCGACAATTTCTGATCCTCCCATACTCTGTGACCCGCTCTGGACCTGGGAAATTCCGAGGCACGGGTTCGCATGCGGAATCCGCATCCATCATCTCTCGACTTCGGGGCGGGGAGATGTAGGGTGGGTGCGACACGAGCAGAGGGCCAGCCACCCCTTGGATACTGAAACAGCGTCAACACTTCACAGTCCATATTCCCACTTCCGATCCCTCTTCTTCCAAGCCGAACCTATTAGTCTGTACGCCGTCGAGGCGATACAGTCTGCGCAATCTCACTGCACTGCAGCCTCGAATCAAACTCAGTCGTACGTTTTCACTCAACTCAGAGCAGTACCCAAGAGGCAGAGGAGAGGGTGTGAAAAGAGGGCGGCAGGGGAGAGAAAAAAACATTCACGAGGCCAAAAAGTCGGCAATAGTCCTCGCCACATATCTGTCCGGCAAAGTACTGCGCCACAGGCTGATACTTGTTTCTCTTGGGAGCCTTGGCCTCCATACCGTCTGTGCACCCTCCTCAGCAGACGAGAGGCATATGATATGCCTTGTCAACGTTTTCCCCTTCGAATGTGGTGACGTCGTGACGAACACGTAGCCAGGATTGGCTGCGCGATGCTTCTGCCGCGGCGGCATCCTCTGTTGTTCTCTGTCGTGTCGGTGGGATGCGGGGAATAGTCCCCAAGGAAGTGAAGGGTAAAACAGCAAGGGGGAAAAGAAAAGAGAGAGACCAGAAAACAGCTCATAAGATAGATCTGCTGCGCACGCAACCCCTTTGCCCTGAATCCATGCCTCCACGTAGCCTAGGTCGATATTGAGGTTCTTCTGGATGCCGTCCTCGGTGACAGCACCGGGGACATCCATGTTGAGCGAACCGCTCCGCGAGACGCTTACGTCCACCCTGCGGCGAAGAGCTGGTTAGGCTTCGGCATGTGGCGGTTGGACACGGTCGGGGACAATGGCCGCGACGGCCGGGTGGGCAACCTAGGAGCCATTGTGGCTGGCGTGGACCTCGCGGACCTCATCGGCGCGCACGCCGTCCATGGCGCGGTCGTTGGCCTGCCGGTCGTCCTCGATGGGGATATGCGAGGCCATGCCGCCTATGGCGTGCACACCGCCGCGATGGCACGTATGGATGCGTAGCTCGACGTAGGCGTCCATGAAGGGCACCGTCATGGCGACGGCGGACCGGTCGGGCGGGACGAAGTCCGGGTTCTGGCAGGACTTCTTGATGACGCTGAAGATGCAGTCCCACCTGCCCCGGCTGAGGCCGGCGCTGTGGCCGCGCGGCTCATGGGAGATCTCTTTTTATCTTGAAGGCGGCTAAGATAGTCTCGATGAGCACCGTGGTGCCGACGGTGCCGCGGGACATCAACAGCCGGTCCTGCGCCAGGTCGGAGATGCCATTCTGCAGACGCGCCTCCAGGTGACCCTCCATTTTGGGGACCCTCCGTTTTGGGGAGTGATAAGCTCAGTTTGAAGCCGCGTCGCTGCGACTCCACGGCGTTGTGGAAGAAGTACAGCCCAAACTTGAATCGCCCGACGGTGGGCTCGCCGTCCACCGTTACGTGCTCCTCTTCCAGGTTCCATCCCTTCAGTCGGAGGACGAGCGGAGGGGGCGGGGGCGTCCGGCCTGTTCGAAGCTTGTACTCTTTCAATCCCTACCTAAAGTCGACGGCCTGGCGTCGGATGGCGTCGTGCAGGTTGACTTGGCCGTCGATAATGCTGTCTCAGTAGGGGCGCTGGAGTATCATTCAATAGGGTCAGAGTATACAGCCGGTAGTGTTTTTGATTGCTTGCTTCTCTGGGCAAGATTTGGGATCAGGGGCTGGATAGGAGTGTGGAAAGAGTCACCTATCCTCCATGTCGGCCATGTAAGTTCACACATTAGGATTGGTCATCTTCACCACAATCTCGCGATCAGTGGGACAGGTGATCTCGATACGTCGGTCGACTAGCCCGGGCGCGGATGTGGCATCCTTCTAGGCATCATTGTCGCGTATGTGCTTCGTCCTGGGGAGCAGGTCTAGTAGGACGCCGCGGTCGAGTTCGGCCTGACGAAGCCTGCAGCTCTTGAGTAGGGCATTGCAGGCCGTGTCGAAGGTGCGGTGCAGCAGGGCGAGGAATGCCGGGGCATAGGTGGTGAGGATGTTGTTGTTGGAGTCGTTCGGTCCTGCCGATGACGTTGGCACCCTGGAGGATAGAGTCTGCGGTGGCCACGTTGGTGATGACGTTTTTGATGGGTATCATCGTCAATCCGGGAGTTCGGCATTCTTGCCATGGGAAAGGTGTTTATGAGAGCACAGGGTAAAGAATCAGAAGAGTGATGATGATGGGTCGGAATGTGGGCAGAGAGACTCTGTAAGGTGTCTGTCCTTGTCTGATGGACATCTCCGACCCCTCATCTGTCGATCGTCTCGTGCGTGTGCTATGGATTGAAGCCGACGGTTGGTTGGTCTGATGATATCCATCATCGGATCAATCACCTCACCCTCGATCCGGCTCGGCAAAAACGGGGTTTGTTCGGTCCTGATCGGTATACCTAGGGCGAGGTGAGGGGGAGGCGACCGGCGCATGTTTAGCAGTATTATGAGTGTGTTGATCAACGGATGGAAGCTTTCCATGTGACAGACCTGGGGTGCTGGGAGCAAACCAGGGGAATGGTACGACGACTGCTCGTACGACTACAGTGTGCTGCTGCTAGATCCTAGTACGAGTAATATTATATGTAGACTGTAATACGGAGTAATAATACGGAGTGGTAGTATTACGGAGTAGGTGGGAAAGATGATAACACAACATGGCGTCACCGCGGGGTCTCCAGTGTCTTGGAAGTTAGAACAGGAACTCTCCAGACTTTGGAGCGCGATTGAGGTGACGTGAGGAATGTGCCGAAATACGGAGAAGCAGGTGATGCGGATTGATTATTATCATAGTCATCATAGTCGTTGTTATGATTACTACTACTACTACTACTACTACTACTACTACTATTATTATTATCGTTATTATTATCATATATCATAATATTTCTTAGCCCTCCTCCCACCCAATCTCGAGTGTTCCGTACGTCGTATTACTCGGCCAGGTACCTATTCGTGGGTATTGGGGGTTCTTTCTTCCCCTGTTTTCTTCTTCTTTTTCTTCCCCAGGACCCCAGGACGATTAAGGCACTACAGGTCTACGTATAATATTACGGCGATATTATTACTACTACTACTACACTACTACTAACCTGGCCAGCCTGACTTCCGTGAAACTGACCGATCAGTCAATTATGGGACCCCAGAGCCAAGAAGAACATGGGTTTGCCAGGTGGTTTTGCCATGTGACTTGCCAGGTGGCCAGGGCCCAAGGGCCAAGACACAGGATACGGGACACGGAACGCGGGAGATGCGGAGTGCGCAGAGGCCAAGAGCAAAGGCCAGATCAGAGCAGAAGCAAGGCAGGAGCGAGGCAGGAGCAGTGACCGAGAATGATGATGCGGCTTAAGTTGGCCCCGGTTACTGGAGCCTTTAGCGTCAGTGCTAGAAGGATCCATCTGCTGGGGCCAAGAACAGCGTCGATTTTATTACGGAGTATTAATAATGTCTGTAATGCTCGTAGTATGGAGTAGTACGGAGTAGTACGGAGTAATAGAAGCTGGGGCGAGTCGGACCGTCTACGGCGTTGCGTGGGAATTGGGCCACCCGGACCGACCGACTATTTCTTTTTTTTTTTCGGGGTATGGTCACGCGGTCATTTGGTGTACGTATCTTTCCTGTTCTTTTCGGCCTGTCCCAGGCCTTGCTGGCGTCTTTTCTAGGTCTCGTTCTTTGACTTTCATCTTACCCTGGTCGTACGTAGTACCCGTAGACTGTAATCTGGATAGTAGTATCGTTCAATCTTGCAAGTGTATGTGTGTGCGTGCGCGTGCATTCGGCAGTGAAATATCATACTCGTAATTCTCCTAGGCGGGATTGGCGGGCTGCGTGCAGTTGTGCAGTGTGCAGAGATGATCTCGTCGTAGCTGCGCGTATTTTTGACCGTTCCGGCAGGGGTGAATGATGTTATATTACGACGTGTAGTAATAATACGTTCGATGATGCCGACGTGACATGCTAGTAGCCAGAAGAACCGAAGAAAGCAGGGAATTGCCTCCTTCTTCTTCTCTGGTCGGTTGAATCGATGTCAATCATTTAGCCGTCGCGTGCAGTTCAAGGGCCACGAAGGGTGCAGGTGACAGAATGGGAATTGTGGCAGGTGCGAACCAGCCAGAGCAGGAAAAGCAAGAGTCCAGAACTCGTCCTCACCGCCTTCGGGCCTTTTCCCTGTCTGCCCTATACGGGAAAGCATCAAGAGCTTATCACTGCATCCTTCCTAAAAGACTCGCACCGTTTCGTAGCATCACGAGTACTTGTACTTGACTGGCTCTACTCTCTTACGATTTCCTATCCCCCCGTACTTTATATACTAAATACGACATGCAGACACATATCTGTACAGAGAGACTCGTACAGAGAGACTCGAACAGAGTAAACACTCACTCGTACTACCTTCCATGTTTTTGGTACATACTGATATTAATACTGCATAGTACCTGCACACCACCAACGGCACCCACTAGTACTCGAGACCCGTGGTAGACGGACCCCGCCACCCGTTATTATTTGCCTCGACCAGAGACATTCTGTAGACCAGGTATCTGCACGACTGCGGCCCGTTTCCCCCCCCCCCCCCTTCTTCTCTTTTTCACGTCTACTTGTCTTACTCCGGTTCCAATTCGGGGTATTGCTCAAGATAGGCGAGAGAGAGAGGGAGAGGGAGAGGAACGGCCGGGGTCGACGTCCGTATCAACCCGTCTTATCAGCCTCCTCGGTTCTCGTGTTTAGCGAAAGACGGACGACGCCACCACAGCAGCCGCCGCGACCACGCAAGCGAAGACGAACCCGTCGGCCATAATGTGGCCGAGGCCGTTCCCACGGGGCAATAACGCGGGGGGGGGCGAAACGAAACCTCCTCTAGGTAATGACATTGGCGGTGTCGACGACGAATACCGACGCAACCGGGGGAGTGGCTCACCATCACCATCACCATCATCTTCGTCACCTTATTATTATTGCCTCAACCGCCTGACTTGTCTGATCGCGGTCATTGTCATTGTCTCGGCAAGTTTAAATTATTACAATCGTTACTGCTGTCTTTATTTACTTGTTTTTACTAATATCGATTTTATTTATTATTTTTCATTCTTCTCTCGTCTTCCTCTCATTGATATGATGGATCATCATCGACATCGATTGATTGTTACCTGTATTACCTTTACTCCGTAATCTGTAATCTGTACTTGGTACCGTGAAGGATCCTGTCGTCTCCCCCAATTCCTCCCCGCTTCTCCCCCAACCATCCAACATTGCGTTGCATGATTGCATCCATCCAACCCTTCCCTCTGCGGAGCGCTGGCCTGAGCTTGGCACTCGGCGAATCTTTCCCCATGACGCCCCTCAGTGCCCCTCTGTCACTCTGGAGGCCCCTCTGAAAGCGTGTGGGTGGCCCCAGACCGAACCCACATTGCTTCCGAGCCCCTGTATAATTACGTCGTACTCCGCCGCAAGCCTCCGGGACCATTGCACAGGCCTAAACAGCCCAAAGACTAAGAGTGTCCACTGCTAAGACTGACACCATCTTCTCTATTTTTTTTTTTTTTCCCTTCTTGACTAGCTCGTCCAGTTCTTGCTCCACGACACCAGGCAGCGCCTTTGCTCTCTCAAAGACTTCCTTTCTCCATCCTTCTTTCTCTCTTCCTCCTCATCCTCATCCTCATCCTCCTCATCCTTCTCCTCCTCCTCCTCCTCCTCCTCCCTCCTCCTCTACTACTACTATTCCTTCTGCTGCCTCATCTCTTCCCATCGACCCACCTCATATTTTCTGTCGTCTCTCACCTCCTACGACGACCGCCGCCTGTATTAGTTTTGCGCCAATCCTGCGTCCTTTCCGTTCCAACCGCCAGCTTCGGCCCCATTCACAGACATGGCTCTCGCACTAGAAACTGAGCGCATCTCTGCGCAATTCGACTTTTCCGATGAAGACCTCAATCGTCATGTCGAGGAATTTCTGGATCAGATGAGTATGCTTCTCCCCCCTCCCCCCTCTCTTTGCCTCTATTACCTTTTCATCCTGATCTACCACTCTCTGAACATGCTGTGACGCAATCATTCACGTGCTAATCTCAATTCTCTCTTCACAGGCGAGGGTTTGGAAAAGGATGGTACCAGCATGAGCCAAATTCCTACCTATGTCACTGGTGTTCCCAACGGCAAGGAAAAGGTATGATTCCCAATCGTCTTTTATTCTTCCCTTCTTTCTTTCCTTCGTTCATCCCGCGTTCGACTTTCCCTTTATATTTTGCTCGTTGCTCGCGTGGTCTCTTATCCTTGCCTCTGCTTGCGCCTGCTTGCTTCTTCGACACCTCTCTTTAGCAGGTCTTAACACGACCACGACCAAATGCAATCAATCGTACTGACACCACCACCTAGGGGCTCTACCTCGCCGTCGACCTCGGTGGCACCAACTTCCGTGTCTGCTCCGTCACGCTCAACGGCGACACCACCTTTAACCTAACCTACGACAAGGTCCCCATCCCCAAGGAGTACATGGTCACCGACTCCGCCACCAAGCTCTTCTCTTTTCTGGCCCTGCAGATTGAGAAGTTTCTGAAGGAGCACCACAACGACCACTTTGTGAGCCGCCGGAAGCGCCGCCCCACATTCAGTCTCCCCCAGGGTTACCGCGAGGAGGAAATCTTCTACCTCGGCTTCACCTTCTCCTTCCCCGTCGAGCAGCTCGCCATCAACTCGGGCAAGCTGATGAGGTGGACCAAGGGCTTCGACATCCCCGACGCCGTCGGCAAGGACGTCTGCGCCCTCCTGCAGGCCGAGATTGACAAGCTCAGCCTGCCTGTGAGGGTCGCTGCCCTGGTCAACGATACCGTCGGCACCCTCATGGCCCGCTCCTACACGTCGAGTGGAGATCAGCGCTCGCTGCTGGGTGCCATCTTTGGCACGGGAACCAACGGCGCCTACATTGAGAAGACGAGCAACATCAAGAAGGAGATTGTCGGCGAGTACGACGACTCGACGGGCGAGATGATTGTCAACACCGAGTGGGGGTCTTTCGATAACCAGCTCAACGTGCTCCCCCAGACTAAGTGGGACAAGGAGCTCGACGCCGAGAGCATCAACCCCGGCTTCCAGATGTTCGAGAAGAGGATCTCGGGCATGTTCCTCGGTGAGATTGTCAGGCGGGCCGTCGTCGACATGATTCGCAACGAGGAGACGTCGCTGTTCCGCGACACCAATTCGAGCACCAACGACCGCCTGACGACGACCAGCATCCCCCCTCAGTGCAAAATGTTCAAGCAGTGGGGCCTCGACACGGCCATCATGTCCGTCGCCGCCGCCGATAACACGCCCGAACTGTCGACGCTGCGCCAAGAGCTCGAGAAGCTCGACGTCTACGCCCCCGCCCTCGAGGACGCCCAGGCCTTCAAGACTGTCTGCAACGCTGTTGCCCGCCGCGCCGCCCGCCTCTCGGCCGTGGCTATCGGTGCCATCGCCCTGAAGTCCGGCAAGCTCGAAGACCCCGACGAGATCGTCGACATTGGTGTCGACGGCAGCCTGGTCGAGCACTATCCCTACTTCCGCGACATGATCTACGAGGCCCTCCGCTCCATCGACGGTATCGGCATCCAGGGAACCAACCGCATCCGTATCGGCATTGCCAAGGACGGCAGCGGTGTCGGAGCCGCCCTCATTGCCCTCGTGGCCTCGAAGATGAAGAAGGGCGAGGAGAACATCAACGACGTCAGGCGAGAACTCGCCCACCTTCGTGCTCAGGGTATGTTCACTTCCCTTTTCCCTTTCCCCGCACACGTGTACAACAGTGATGCTGACAAACTGTACAGCCGCCGCTCACAGGGCATGGGTAAACATGACAATGGTGGCCGGTGCCGTGGGTATTGCTGGCATCGCCACCGCGGCGGCGCTCTGGTGGGCCCGACGACGTTGAAAAAAAGGGGGGGAGGGGGGAGTTCACGTCCCCTCATTATGAACCGGCAAGGAAAACGAAGAACAAGACGAAAAAGAAACACCGAGGACCGCAGCGGGCGGGCCTTTTGGTAAAAGAAACTCTTATTTTTGTGTAAACAACCCCATTCGATTTTTTTTCTTGTTTCCTATAACTGTATGAGGGAGTAGGAGGTCACTGGCATTCGGTTTTTTTCTTCTTTATATTCTTTCTTCATTATCTGATTATATATATATATATATATGAGAAACAAATTTTTTTTTTTTTCATTCGAAGATACGCGAGAGTGATGCTGCGGACTACCACTTGGCAGTATCTATTGTGTTATGATGATTACGTATAAGTCAAGTATTTGATATTATACTAGTAGTACCCAGACCGGAAACCGTGTTTGAATGTCCGCGATAACAGTGGTATTGATACTAGCAGTAGCAGTATTAGTTAGAGGAAACCCCATGCTGGGACTGTAATTGATACGTTCTTCTTCCTCTTCTTCCCTTGTAATCAGAGCCTCGTAGTATAATACATGTCCCTTTTTTTGTTCTTTTCTTTTCTCCATTGTATCGATTGATAGCTCGTAAAGTCGTATAATCTTCCTTCTCCGTTGTCTTTATAAGTCCCTTTTTTTTTTGGAAGCTTCCCCGCCCTCACGCACCAAACGCAGCAGCAGGATAGGACCTGTCCCTCTTCTTTCGAGCAGCAGAGACGCTACGAGAAGATGGCTGGGAAGAGGCGGCACTGCTCCCACCACTGGGAGGGCCACCGCCAGAAGCGGCAGCCTTGGGGTTCAGACCGGCCATGTCGGCGGGCAGATCGTTCCACTCCGTCTCGGGACGCTGATTCTGGAACGACTGCCCCGGGAGCGGGGGCCCAGGCCTCCGGGGGGGACCGCCCATAGGCGGACCACCGGCGGCAGGAGCGGCACTCATGGGGGGCAGATTGACCACGGCAGCCGTGGGACTAGGCCTCACAGCGGCAGGGGCAGGGGCAGGGACAGGGACATTCCCGCGTGCGGACGGAGGAGAGGCGGCGGCGATATCGCGTTGCACGAGCCAGGCCGAGTCGGGCCGCAGGTTGCGGTAGTATCCGGCTATGGGCCGGGCGGCGTGGCGCCTGAAGCCGCGGGCCTCGTACCACGCCAAGGCGTCTTCGTTGTCGGTCCACACGTGGGCCGAGATGGTGTTGACGCTCCGGTCCGCGGCGCGGACGGACGCGACGACGGCGTCCACGGCGGCCGAGGCGAGCCCTAGGCCGCGGTAGGGCGCCAGGACGCACAGAGACCGGATGTACAGCGTCGACGACGGGCTGCCGGGAGCGGACGGCTCGACGTGGCACACCACGCCCCCTATCACCTTCGCATCTTCTCCCTGGCCCGAGGGGTCGGGGGCGGACCACGTGATGACGCGAGAGGTGTGCTGCTGCTCGGCGGCGCGGCGGTAGAAGTCCTCTGGGTACGGGACGGGGAGGAGCAGGGCGTTGATGCGGCGGAGTGCATTGAGGTCGGAGTATGTCACAGGGCGGATTGTCGCTTCGTGAGGGATGTTGTTCTTGTCGTTGTCGTCGTCATCCTCGACTGTGAGGCCACTCTGGGGAGGCACGGGAGCGGGAGTGGGAGCTGGTGCGGGAGCTTGTGCCGGCTTTGCTGATCCTGGGGGAGGGGCGTATTTCGGCGGCTTCGATTGGAAGAAGGACTTTATGGATGTTTGAGCCGTGGGGAGGGACATGGTGGTGGAGACTGGAGTGAGGGTGTGAAATGGGAGGGAACATGACTGAGGGAGGGATAAAAGGAGGAAGTTCGACTACAGGCTGTTCTCTGTTTTTGTTTGGGCATGTGGTTCTGGCTAATAATAGCAGTGGCATTAGCATGAGAGTCCAGTTCAGGGACCACCCGGGGGGAGGGGAGGGGAGTCCGAGAGCTTAGGGGTTTTCACGATGATGTCGATGATGATGATGTACGAGGTGATGATGGGCACACACGACTTTACTGGTAGTAGTGATATTTGGGTAGAGACCGGGAGGAATTAGACCATGAATATTTGGTGATTTATACTATTAGCAGTAATGTTGTATATGTGAATGTGCCCGAGTTCAAATAATATGAAGCATTCAATTGGGAGACTGGCAGACTAACGATAGCCACTGACTGATAGGCTGATAGACTGATAGACTGGACGATTACGCAGCCAAGGCTCCCCTGCATCCGGGATTTACAGGGGGGATTAGGGGGAAGTGGCCTAAAAGGGAGAAAATTAGTGATCCGGCCGAAGCTTTCAACTTTACAGGTATGCTGTCGTTGGTCGATAGCATGCGTTCAATTCACATCGACTGAGTGCTACAGTGGTCGCATGTGCTGAAACTACGGCGCCCAATCCACTAAAATACACCACTGTGACCACTATAACGCCCTCACCTGGGTGCCCGTGGACCTCGATCCGTTCTTGCCCGAATCCCGGCCGCCGAGCGGTCGTTTTTCCTTTCTTTTTCTTTTCCCTTTTTTCCTTTTCTTCTTATTTTATTCATTACCTTTTTTTGCCCCTACATACAAGATTGTCTGTATTCTCTTCTTCTTCGTCTTCTCTTCTCTTCTGTTGAATATTCCTTCCATGACATTGACAGAAACAAAGATTGCTACCGAATTCCAGGGGGAGAGACATATTTCGACTGTTTGAGCGACCAACAAACCTCAGCTGTCGGTCCAAAGTTGTCACACATCCGCACCACCAACCACTGTTCTCACACTACCATTCTTACTTCATACATCTCTCCTCCCCCAAAGCATCAGTTTAAGCTTGGCTTGGTCAGCACATCCCACGCGGCAGACTGCATTCGCAAGACACTGGGTCCCCGTCACAACAACCGCCACTCTATCAACATCAAAGACGAGAGAGAAGGAAAGAAATAGAATTGGAAGGAACACTCCTCATCGAAGAACGAGGCGAAAAGGCTGCAAGTCTCCCTGGGCCGACAACGGGCCACGATCCCCGACCCACATCCGTTCGCCGCAACGCACCTCTTGGCCGCCAGAGACGACGACGAATATGGATTCGACGACGGGGAGAGCTGGCGTCATTCGCGCCAGTGACGGTGACGGGAGCATGGATAAGCTGGTAGGGCATCTCCTGGGCCCAGTCTCAACTCCAACATTTCTCTCTCCTCCTTTCTCCCTGCAATACTAATCAATGAGCGTCTCGTCCTTGCGTCTTTACAAGAAACAGGCGCACTCCGTCCTAGATGATCTGCTATACAACATCATCTCAGACCTAGTCCTCGAGACGCACCGCGAAGAGAAGCTGGCCAAGGCGACGACGGCGGCCATCCAGGCCGAGAAGGTGGCGGCCGACGCGTCGGACCCGTCGGCGCCCGAAATCAAACCCGACGTGCGCATCGAGACCGACGCAGCCATATACCACGACGGCAAGGTCTACCTCAAAGGCAACCCGCTCAAGACGACCAAGGAGATCCTGTGCCCCAAGTGCCACCTCCCTCGGCTGCTGCACCCGACCGACGGCAAGGGCGCCAAGAAGCCCGACCCCACCGTCCTCTACTGCAAGAGGCACCCCTACATCGAGAAGGCAGGCTGCGACGTCTACGGCCAGAGCTGGGTCGGTCCGGGACCCGGTCGCGGCAAGAAGAAGAAGGACATGGAGAAGAAGGACGAGGCCGGCGCGGGAGGTGAGCAGCGGCCACCTAACGTGCTCTCGTTCCCCTCGGCCACGTGCAGCAAGTGCAAGCGGTGCATCCTCGTCACCCGCCTCAACAACCACATGGGCTCGTGCATCGGTAACAGCGGCCGCAACGCCAGCCGTGCTGCCTCCCAGAAATTCAACAACGGCAACGGCAACATCAACAGCTCTACTCCCCCCCCCACCTCCTCACAGAAGAACACGCCTGCTCCCGGTTCGCGCGCAGCTAGTCCCAGGAAACGCGAGATGAGCGAGGACCTGGACGACGAGAACAACAGCAACAACAGCAACAACAACAACAACAGCAACCACAATAACAGCAATAACAACGGCGGCGGCGGCGGCCATGGTGCTGACGGCACAGGACCCCCTAAGAAGAAGAAGATGAAGTCGTCGGCGTCGGCATCCGCGTCGGGCACCTCGACCCCACCTGGGTCCATCAACGCCAAGAAGGTCATACTCAAGACCAAGAAGGAGCTGGCCAAGGCTGCCGCCTCGGGTCTCTCCCAGGAGAAGAAGTTTGGGCGCGCAGGATCGGCCGACAGCGATTCCGTCGAGGTTGCGACCCACCCCGCAAAGTCCAAGACGGGCAACGGGAGTCCCCTCAAGAAGTCCAAGATTGCCAAACCCCCTGCACACAATTCCTCCCCGCTGAAGAATGGGCGTGATGCGGATGGCGAGTCTGAGTCTTCAGGTACTCTGTCTTCTCCCCGTCAGTAAAGCGGTTGGGGGGGAGGACTGAGTGTACCCGATTGTTGGCTATATCTTCTTCTTTCAGGAATGCACGAGAGAAGAAGCGGAGCAAACAGTCAATGTTTACTTTCTTCTTCTTCTTCTTCTTCTTTTGTAATTATTCGACTATTTTTTTTCTTAAACAATTTTTGCATGCATCTGGAGAGGCGCGGCTCCCAAGTTGGGCTATGACTTTTTTTTTGTTTGTTGTCATAGGATTGCTTCTTTTTTTATATACATTGGAGACTTTTTTTTGGGGAGGTGGGGCCTCTACACAGAGAGATTGATCCCCCGAGCATGGATGAAGAATATGAGGGCTAGGAAAGAATACCAATGGGCAATTTAGTGGTGAATTGACAATTTTTTTTTCCATATATTCGTCTAGCATGTGTTTTCTTTTTTTCTTCTCTTTCCTTCAAGATTTATACATTGTGCCATAACGCCGGGTATATTGTATTGGTGTCTTGTCGTGATAACATTTGTTTTTCTGTCGACAAGATCGTATCGACAAGATCGTAGGGGAAGTAAAGACAAGAGGGGCATGAGGGGGGGTGTGAGGGGGGAGGAGGAGGGAAAGAGAGTTGAGATCAAACATCATCATCCCCCTCGACAACAACCTTGGCATGAAGAATCTTGACATCCTCGACGGGCCTGTCCTCCGCCCCGGTCTTGACCAGGCCCATCCTCTTGACAGACTGCATGCCCGACTTCACCCTCCCGAAGATGGTGTGCTTCCCGTCCAGCCAGGGCGTGGGGGCCAGCGTGATGAAGAACTGGCTCCCGTTGGTGTTGGGGCCGGAGTTGGCCATGCTGACGACGCCGGCGCCCGTGTGCCGCAGGGTGGGGTCGAGCTCGTCCTCGAAGCTGTCGCCGTAGATGGACGTGCCTCCCCGTCCGGTACCAGTCGGGTCGCCGCCCTGGGCCATGAAGTCCGGGATTATGCGGTGAAAGATGGTCGAGTCGTAGTAGCCACGCCGAACGAGGGTGACGAAGTTGTTGACTGTCTTGGGGGCGTGGGAGGGGTATAATTCCAGTGTTATGGGACCCTGTCATTGTCAGAGGTTAGAAAGAGGTCGGGGAATTGAAGTGGTCAGAGGAAGAAGGAGAGAGACTACCACTGTGGTTTGGAGGAGGACATCTGTTGCCATTTTCTTCTTCTTTTTTTCTTTTTTTTTTTTTTTTTTTTGGGGGGGGGGGGGGGGGGGGGGGGGGTAGGGGTATGGGGGAGTGTTGTTTGTTTTGGAGAGCAAACAGTTGAGGATGGAGGTTGGAGGTTTTGGGGAGCCCCACGTCAGATCTGGACACACTATTACTAGTATTAGTACCTCCATCAATTGATCTACCACTCACCAAACGTACATCATCAATCGGGGAGGCACAAAATGTCGGAAAACACAAGCCTCGACTCCCAACAGGTTGACTCGGCACCCTGGTCTCCCTTGCAGGCCCTTCGGGATCTGGACTTCCTCAAGCTCGAGTTTAAGCTCGTCTTCAGCGCCCTAGCAATCATCTACGTCGGCGCCCACGCCTCGCTGCGCCGTCCGCCGTCCGCCGCGCCCGCGACGCGCCAGGGTAAGACGAGGAAGACAAGGACGGGGGACGAGAGCGAAGATGATGATGACGACGACGACGATAAACCCCTCACCCAGGGGATGGAGCTGGGCGACGCCATCATGTTCCCCGTCCTGGCCGGCATCGTCCTTATGGGGCTGTACTACCTGATCCAGTGGCTCAAGGACCCGGAGATCATCAACACCGTCCTGCGATGGTACATGTCCACCATGTCTACCTTCAGCATGCTGACCCTGTACTCGCACGGCATCTCGCTTGCCGTGTCCGTCGTGTTCCCGCGGTACTGGAGGGGCAGGGACGGTGTACTGCGCGCCGCACGCCAGAATACACGGACCGTCGTCGCCTGCGATGCCGTGGGGAACCGAGTCGGCCAGCAGCAGGAGAGGGGGGGTGGCAACGGCGGCGATGGCCATGGTCGCGGTGCGTCGTCCGCCCCTGCGTCCGAAGACAACCCGTTTCCCGGACCTCTGTCGGTGCTGGCTCGGTCGTCGAGCGCTCGCAAGGCCGCCTGGGAACTGAGGGACGTGCTCACCCGCTCGTGGATCTTCAAGGCCTACATCCACGGCGTGGCGAAGGAGAAGACGCGCATAAACTTCTCCCACATGATCGCCCTGGTGGCTGCCCCAGCTACCGCCCTCGTCTACTCGTCTACCGTGTCACCCTTTCTGTCAAACATGATGGGGTACGCCATGTGTTACGGCACATTTCTCATCCTTTCTCCTACTGATCTGCTCATTGGGTCGCTGGTCCTGTGTGGACTGTTCTTCTACGACATCATCATGGTCTTTTACACGTGAGCCTTCCCTCCTTTCCTTCTTTCTCTACTTGTTCCCACCATCCATCTTGCGATCTATATGAAGAGGAAAGAAGAAGAAAAGAAGAACACAATGCTGACAAGAACAAACACAGCCCCTACATGGTCACAGTGGCCACCACGCTCGAAGTCCCCATAAAGTTGACTTTCGAGGCAGCCGGGCGCAGGAGCATACTCGGCCTAGGCGACATTGTCCTGCCAGGCATCGTCATGGCCTGGGCCCTCAGACTAGACCTCTGGCTGCACTACCAGCGTAAGGTCAGGTACGAGGCCACGGAGCTGACCATAGTGGAAAGGGACGCCGTCACGGGTGCCGTTCGGACGCGCGCCGAGACCAAGCACCGCGAGGTGAAGGCGCCCTATGTAAACGTTCAGGGAACATGGGGCGATCGTCTCTGGTCCAGGTCCATGTTCATATTCGGGCGGCAGCAGCAGCAGCAGCTCCCCGTTGAGCTCGAGGCCGCCCGCTTCCCCAAGACGTACTTCCACGCCACGCTGGCGGGGTACACGCTCGGCATGGCGGTGACTCTGTGCATGCTGCTCGTGTTTCGGAGGGGTCAGCCCGCACTGCTGTACCTGGTCCCCGGTGTCCTGGGATCCGTGTACCTCACCGCTCTTGTGCGCGGCGAGATGAAGCAGGTGTGGAGCTACACCGAGGACGGGAGCATTGATAAGAAGGATGTTGTCGTCGAGGTTGACGCCGATGGGAACCCCATAAAGAGGCTCGGAAGATCAAGGAATGGTGTTCTCGACACGACAAATGACGAGGATAAGTCCAAAGATGGAAGGCCAAACAAGGATGACGATGGTGAAGATGATGATATGAAGAAGAAGGAGAAGAAGAATGAGGATGACGAGAAGAAGAAGAAGAAGAAGGAGAGAAAGGCCGGTGGTGGACACAAGGTGTTTTATCTGTCCTTGGAGGAAGCCCCGGCAGAGACCTAAGCAGTGCTGTTCACCCTAGGGAGGAAGATAACAGAGAGGAGGAGGAAACAAGATAGCACTAAGGATGGATATTCGATAGAGAGATGAATCATAATTTTTTTTTCTGAACGCCAACGTTGACACATCCCTACCCCGTGCCGTGCCGCGTGGCCGTCCACAGTCAGAGTCGCCCACGACTTCTTGGTCGGCTGCTGCCCCGCCCCCACCTCGGGGATTTCGCACTCGACCGGTCAGCATGAGCAGCATGATCATACCTGAGCCATGATGTGGTTTTCATTTTCATTTTATTTATTTTTTTGCCCGTTCCGCTGTTCCGCTCCACCAGGTCCTCTCACATAAATCTATCCCACTTCAACTTTGCCTTGATTACAATCGCAGCCTCCTTGGTACCATACACGCAGTCTACTCTCGGGGAACGTTCGAGGACAGCGCTTCAGCCCTGCGATGATCCATCTACAATATCTACAATGACCCTGACACAATGGGTCCTAGATACCCGACCACTATGGCCACAAGCAAAACGCACGTCTGACCTGACAGATCAAGTGAGTTCGTCCTAGACTAGACCAGACCTTCGAGCGGGGGGAGGGAGGCTTTTCTCATTTTTCTTTACCCCCCCCCCCAAATACATCTTACCTGATAGAGCCCAAAAGCCCTTCCTGGCTGACAAACTTATCCTTAACCCTCCCCCCCGGAAAAAAAAAAAAAGGCCCGAGATGCCCTTCGTCTTATCCCCGAGGCTGAACGCACCAAAGTGCTCCGGTTCTTCCACGTGCAGGACGCCAAGATGGCACTGGGATCTCATCTGCTGAAGAGGTACGCGGTATGCCTCCTGGCCGACGTATCTTGGGACGAGGTAGCCCTCACGCGGGGTCACGACACGAAGCCCATCTACCGCGCTGGGGACGGCAGTGAGCCAGTCAGCTTCAATGTATCCCACCAGGCTGGTCTGGTTGTACTCGTCGCGTCGGCGTCGGCGTCACCAGTAAAGCAGCAGCAGAATGGGGACGAGGAGAAGGAGAAGAAGGCAGATTTAGGTGTCGACATCGTCTGCCCGTCCGAGCGACGTCTACGGGATCGCGAGCTCATACGTTCGCAGGGCTGGTCTGCCTTTGTAGACATGCACGCCGACGTGCTCTGTCCGGATGAGGTGGCTGTTCTGCACAGCATGGCTGGGGACGAGGACAGGCTGCTACGCTACTTCTACGCCCTCTGGTGTCTCAGGGAGGCCTATGTCAAGATGACCGGAGAGGCGCTTCTGGCCCCGTGGCTGCCGGAGCTGGAGATGCGGTGGTTCTGTCCGCCTGAAGAGCAGGAGGGGGAGGAGGGTGGGGATGGAGGTAGAGGGAGGAATCTGGAGATTTGGTTCAGGGGAGGTCGCGTGGTTGATGTCCATGTGCGGCTCGTCGATTATATGGACGAGTATATGATCTGTACGGCTGTGAGGGGGGGGGACCTGCATATAGGGGAGTATGATGTGGTCGATGTGAGGGATGTGATTGCTTTTGCTGAGAGATCAAAGGGGTGGTGATCTTCTGTCTATAGAGAGACGAAACATGTCGAGGGTATTTTTTCTTCTCCTACACTTTTCTTTCATTGTTGTCGTTGCTGCTGCTGTTGTTGTTGTTTTATTTCTCCAATCTTCCCCTGCTATATTATAATACACCTAAATCAAAAGTGGTTGCCGAAAAATTCGACGAGGACCTTGTATCCACGCTCGTACTCGGCCTTGACCCTCGGATCCTCCAGGTTGGACCGGGCAGCCATCCAGCCGTGGATCTGGTCGGGAAAGGTCTCGACGTGCTTGGGCACCTTGAGGGCGGCCTCGAACTTGTCGACGTCCTCGATCGGCTCGTCCTTGGAGGCGAGCAGGGCGAAGGGGACCTTGATGCCCTCTGCGTCGGCGGGGTCGACCATGGCGGGGTGGGCGGCTGCGGCGATGGAGAAGGGGTTCGAGTCGGCCTTGACGACTAGGGAGATGACTTTTCCGCCCCAACAGTACTGTAGGATTATCAGATACACGCACAAGAGGGGGAAGGGGGGAGGGATGAGAAGAGAAGGATGGAGAGAGGCATACACCGACAATACCAAAGCTAGTGATGGAAGAGTCCTTGGCCTTGATGGCATCAACATACGGGGGGATCTGGCCGGCGACCTTGGGAGGTGGGTACGTCTCAAAGAATTTGCCGAGAGCCTTTTGCTTCTCCTCGTTATCGGGGGGGAAGCTAGCCAGAGGGTCAGCTATATACAGGCACAGACACGTATACATTCATCCCGAAGGGGGAAGAAGAAGTAAAAGGAAAGCTGAGGATGAGACACACCTCGAGATGGGAAAAGGTTTGCCGTGGAACCAGTCGGGCATGTAGACCTTGTACTTTTGCTTGTCGTCGCTGTAGGCTAGGATATCGGCGCCCTGGAGTGTCTGCTCAAAGTAGCCAAAGATGTCGTAGGTGACGACGATTGCTTTCGTGGCATCGGCAGGGCCAGTTACGTCTTATATCCTGTCAGTTCTATATCATGGATTGGAGTGGTTGGATCGAAGGGTTGAGACGAAGTACGAAGGAAAAGGGAGAGCGGGTAGAAGAATAAAAGAAGAAGAAGAAGAAACACCCACAAGACCTGTATCCTCCAATCTCCTCATATGTTCCCTTGTTCTTATATCCCTTCGTCACGACGGGTGGCACATTGCAGCAGGCTTCGCTGTGGCCGTGCGAGGCAGGCATGGTAGACATGTTGTCTGTTTTGTACAGTGGGCACTGGACACCGGGCAAGATTGTGTAAAGGGGAAGGCTTACGATGCGTGAGTCTGCGAGAAGAAGTGCATGAGCGCGAAGTTGGAGAAAAAGGGAGTGGTGATGGTGTCTGTGAGGGGAAAGAGAGATGCAGAGCTGATGAATAGATGGGAATCAGTTCGATGGTGCATGATTTCATCGTCTCCCCGAGGCGGGGAAAGCTTTCAGATATTGGGCGGTTGAATCGGCGGGGTAAGCCTGCGGTTTGCCGCTCGGTGATGTCACTCATACTCGTGAGGCCTCTCTACTGCGTTTAGTGAGCGTTCAAGTGAGTGCTTTGTAGTATGTAATCTGCAGTTATGAGCCCTCATAGCTCTTACCATAATCATGCAAATGCGTTTATCGCTGACACGTCGGGTTCGTAGTAATAATGAAAGGAACAAGCCATGTGCGTCATGTCATTGAAGTGTTTGGGGTGCGTGCATGGTCATGGCTGACGCTCATCTCACTTCAGCTCCTGAAGTGTGCCGGGAGGGAACTCTCCTCGCCCCCCTTCCGTTTCAGCAATCAAAAAGAAATACATTCCTATGATGCTTGATAATACAGATCTCTATGCAAAGTCGCATATATCTATATACGTCTACATATATGGTTTATAAGAAAAACAAATGAAGAGAGAGAGAGAGGGAGGGAGGGAGAGAGAGAGAGAGTGGGTGTGTGTGTCAGAAATAAGAGACTGAAAAAAAGGAAAAAGAAGAAGCCTCCATGCAAGGAACACCTAAAAGGGAACACCTCAGAAAGGAACAGTCATGTCGCCTGTGGGATTTTGAAAACCCCGAGGATGACAGGATCTGTGTATATCTGTCTCAAATGAAACGAGAAGAACAAGTAGAACAGAGAGGATTTCAGCGATGGATACAGGTTGGTCTTGCTGGTATTACTAGTGAGTAAAGAATACACCATCTCCGGTCAAACCACTCGTCTATCCTAGACAGAGATCAGGATGACAGAGGCCGTCGTGAACTAGACGATGTTGCCACGAGTAATCCATTATACCTGTCCTCTCACAACGCTCTACCGGTATGCGTACCTGTTCTCACTTTGCAGTCGAGGACCTATCGGCTTGCTCTTACTTGTCTTGTTCTCTGCTTATCCATCTGTCCCCATCTGTCTGACAGTACAAAGTGGTGTGTGTATTTGTATGTGTGTGTATGTGTGTGTGTGTGTGTGTAGAAGATAAAGAGAGAGGGGGGAGAGGGAGTGAGGGAGTGAGGGAGTGAGGGAGTGAGTGAGAGAGTGAGAGAGTGAGGGAGAGGGAGTGAGGGAATGAGTGAGAGAGTGAGAGAGAGAGGGGGGGGGAGGGGAGGGGGGGTAGACGCATAGCTGTATGAGACAGCCAGCTTGTTGCAATATGCATAGCCGATGCCGCAGGTCCCTCGTTAGCTCAACAGATCGTACAGTCATATTACTCCGTACTTTTTTTACTCGAGAGCGAGAGAAAAAAAAAAAAAGAAGTAAGAGACAGTCATATATCACATCACTTTTTTTTCCCTGCTTTCCTTCTTTCCTCGCGCTTCGATCTACATGATTCGCACCGGGGCATCTGTACCTTGTCCACGATTACGGATTGCCGTCCGTTGTCCGTTGTCTTGTTTTGCCGTACTCTTTTCTCTCTCTCTCTCTCTCTCTCTCTCTTCTCTAAAACTTGTTTCTGATCGAGAAAAGGGAGGGAAGGTGAGGGAAGATGTCCGATGGGAGGAGAAGAAAAAAAAGAAAACAAACCCCCCGAAAACCGAAAAAGAAGGAAGAAAAAAAAAGGGGGGGTGGGAGAAAAGAAAGAGAGAAAAAAAAGGTTGCAAACTGCAGGCAATCAAGTAATCATCATATGATGCGTGGTAGATCACACACATATAACCTAATAAGCAGGACTAATAATACCCAGTCTACTGGTTAATATAGCAAACATTGGTTTTTTTCTCCCTCTTCAAATACGCACATAATACACACACAGAGTAATCAAGAAGGAGCAGCACACTAATAATAAAGGTATATACTCGTACGTACATGCACCGTGCTATAATGATAGCATTACCGAGTTACAAAGATGTTGTATCATCTGTACGAGTAAAGAGACTAGGAATAATAATATCACACAGATAGACGACATCAGAGACATGACACATCATAATGCCTCTCCATCTCTCCCCCTCATAGCAAACTTACCACTTGATACATACCACTTAGCAATTCCACACACATGTCAATGACTGTTACAGGTGGAAAGTGTGCGTCATGAGTGTAATTCTTTCTCATTCATCCATCCTCATACCTGAGCATGTAGTACTTGTACAGGTGAGTACAAGCATGCACATGCTCTATATAAAAAGAAGATGGATTCTTTACTACTACCGCAAAATAATACTCTGACCAATAACAGTAGTTAAACCAGTCTACCTGTGAGCATCATGCTCCCTCCATGAATCTACAAGTCCATCCCATTGGAACCCTCTGATTGGATGTCGACTCATTTATCAGATTCCCTGACAGAGAAGCCATGTGGGTAACGACACCTGCTCTCCTGTCTCTTCGCCCCTTCTGAAAAGAGACAGCGTCACATATGGCCTGCACTGGAAACTTCTCTCTCTAGATAACTTCTTGGTATTGATAACAGTCAGACGAGCTGTAAGGCTCTGTCCTAAACTGACCCGTACTCCGACCGTGCTCCTTTTTTTTCTCTTTACACCTGACCTGTGCTCCCCAATTTGGCTTCCTTCTTTCAATTCCCACACACCCATCCCCCCCCCCCCCCCCCCCCCTTTYYTYYCCCCCCCCCMYTTTTTTTTTTTAAAAAAAAAAAAAAAAAAAAAAAAAAAARAAAAAAAAAAAGAGAAAAAAACACGCAACCAACAGACCGGATAATGGACCCTTTGTAGCCAAACCCAAACACCAATTGTTCACCACAGAGGAGAGAGAGAGACCCCTGACCTGGCAAGCACATAAATACCAAACCCAGGGGGGGGGGGGGGGAAAAAAAAAAAAAAGCAACATACTTCACACAAAGGAACAAACATGAAAGGGGGTAAACGAGAAAGACAAAAGAGAAAAGGACAAGAGAAAAAAAAGAGAGAAAAAAGAGAAAAACTCCCCGGCTCCCGTACAAAGAGTACCCCATCCCTCCTTCCGGGAGGGACATTGCGCAAATAGAGAGCTGACAGCGAGATGCGACAATACGGGGGACGAAGGGATAGATGGAGTGGCAGAGTCATTCCTCCCGATCGCCCTCCCCGTTTCTCTCGGAGAGCAGCCATGTCTAAATCAACCAGATAGGTCCCACTTATGTATGGCTTTTACACCTTTAGTCGTCGTGCTCGTGCTCGTGCTCATGACCATCCTCGTCACAAGGGGTCCCGCAGTATCCGCAACACCGGCCAGGAATCACCCACACTTCCTTGCCGTCAAGAGCACAGGTCGGGCATCGCGTCCCGGGGGACTGGTAAAGGTTAGAGCTTCTTTCCACTAAAAAAAGGTATCTCTCTTTTCAATGAGAATGGAGGAGGAGGGGGTGGGGACGACAACCATACCTTGGGAGTCCGGACAATATCTCCAAAGGGAGCAACAAGACTAGGCACGGTTGCCGGCCCGAACGTAGAGTTGGGTACGAGGCAGGAGCCTTGAGAGCGACGAGACAGGACCATTGTTGCTGTTAGCGCCGGTGTCCTTGACAGGTTCGAGGTCTTGGTGGGGAGATAGAGGTTGCAAAGATCCGTTTGATGGGACGAGAGACGCAAGAGCGTGGTCAGGGTCGTTGAGCGATGAGAAGAAGGATGGAGGGTGAAGGATGGCAAGACAGAGAGCGAGAGACGAGTATTAAGTACGAGAGATGATCTTGGAGATCTTCCTGAGACTGAGGGACGCTTTTAGATTAGAGCTGGATATAAGTTATAACCCATAACCCAGGGTGGTGGGCGACCTTTAATATATGGATCGAGGAGCTGGCAAAGGGGGGGGGGGGAGCAGGGGGGGAGGGCCAGGGAGGTACGTAAATCTCTGCACTTACTTCTTTATTTCTAGGACCACACATCATACAAGAGACACAGTTACTCTCCGTCCCAGGGATGAGGGAGATGGCTGATGCTCCGTAATAGCTGGGCTGAATCTAACATTAGTACCCGAGAGCCGGGATCAGTAGCCACCCTTGTCCCTTGTCTCGTTGATTCGTACCCTTGTACACGGTATCACCAGCTTCCCGCCCCCATCCTTAGCAGCATGGCTGATGCGGGTAGCCAAGGATAGACGTTTATTCGATCGGGTAGAGACCCGATGGCTCTATACCAGTGTTGCCCATTCGGGACACACTGCGCACCTTCCTACGGGGTTGCGGGACTAACAGAGGTTGTCGTCATCGTGACTTCTCCGTGGGCACGTCGTAGAGATCTTCCCGCCGACCACACACTGGCCTCTTGAGGACACCCTGCCAGCGACACCACCAGGCATAGCGTATTGCAGAGTACAGTTCGATGGCTCCACGTATCATCGATCCATGGCTGAGAGGCCGTCGATCTGCCGGTGAAAGTCGCCCTTGAAAGATACCCAAGTTACTTTTGTGGAGCACCGTCGATGGGAACGCAGGCTGCCGAGAGGAGAGGACCGAGGTGCTCAGACAGCCCAATAAAATCTCAGCCGGGAACAGGACCGGCGTTAAAGACCATCATGCACGAGCGTTGTACGAGTTTAGCCGTGGGAGAGTCGTTTACCGGATGCTCGTGTGCAGGAAGCTCTCGTACACGGTGGTTTGGGCTGTTTGCCCCTTGAATTTGCAGCCCAATCAAGCATCAGTACATAGCATTGCCGCGCGCAATCTCGTCGTTGTGGCGAGTAACTGCTACGGCATCTGTGCGACTTGGTCGCAATGCACGGGGCGGGAAGCCTCAGCAGCGGCCAAGCAACGAAGAAAGAGAAGAAACGAAAAAAGGGAGGTGCACGCCGTATCAGCTGAACACCGATCAGTTCAGTCCCTTTGTGCCTCGTCGCTCTGCCCTCTTTTTGCTTGTACGAGCACCGTTTCCCAGAATATGTGATATGTGATTGGCTCACATGATGTCGCAGCGATGCGCTCATGAGCAAGCCAAAAGATAGAATCTGGCGTAATACGTCAGATATTCCACATCATTGTTTAGTCCTCGCCTTCTTAGGGTAGCTGACGATGGACGCCAAGGTGCAGCATTAACTGGACAGGGGGGAGGGGGAGTACGTACCTTCCCAGCTCCAGGGCCCCGGAACTGGGGGGGGAGGGGTGGTGTTATGGCCTATCGCCAATCATCGTATCAGGGGCCATAGCCAGACTCTGGGGAGGCCTGACATGGGTCATCACCAGAACCACCACCTTAGCCAAGCTAGACATGCTCCGTAGGTTGTAGTGTAGACGAGTAATCAAGTATTACTACGAGAACCCCGTAAGAAGGCTCAAGAGAAGAGTCGAGCGAGCGTCGTAAAAGTCGGTGAAGGGCATGCGTCCTCTCTGCTTTGTCGTGATACCTAAATCTTATTTATTTTTTTTGTCTGCGCAAACCTGGCCCCGTTTCGGGAGACGACAATCGATGTCCCACCGTAGACGTCCCGGCAAACTGGCAAACGAAATCTCGCATCTGTCCGATGGCGACCCTGGTACGTACCAATACATTGTATTGCCCAAGAGCAACAAACGGCAACACCAATCCGTGTCCTTGGTGGGCAGCCTCAAAAAATCGTATACAGACCCCTTTTTGACTGCCGGTTCCCGACGGCCACATGACAACCACGGCCGGCCTCGTGCATACCTGTCCTGGACATAACCGCCCAGGTGCGGCTGTGACTGCAACTCGGGCAGCAGACGGCATCTGTCCGGAGGCTGAGTTGATAGCATCCATACAACCTCTGTCTGAGTGTTGGATCTGTGAGCTTGAATACGACGTACGCAGAGGGGTCTCTTCAGGATATGACGAGTCGTAGAAGCTGAAAGTAATCTGGGGGCTTCCTCGAGGCAACCTCTCTGCAGGTGACGCAGCGCTGTCTTTGGCAGAACGAGAAGACTGGGGAAATGAAAGAAAGTCATGAGTGAGGCCAACGTCAGACTAGAAGGGGAAAGGGAATAGAAAATGGAAGAAGGCACAGTGCATATCTCCGCCTTCTTGCTCACGGTGTATACAGTATTACGTCGCACCTTCCTTCCTTTTGTCGCTCCTGCTACTTTTATTTGCGTGGGACTCATGGAAGTTTTGACAGGGCATGTACGCAGGGATGAACCTATCTTTCCTGATCCAGTCTTTTGATTGGTCTCACCGTCAGCCTCATGGAACCCGCCCATCAGCTCACCACTGACTTCCTCTCCCCCCGTCCTCCATCCCTAGCGTCCACGGAGAGACAGGGTCCACGTCAAGGTTCTGTCTTCTTGTGACCTTTTCGTTTGAAAACCCCGGGCCAGTGCCAGTTAATAATCGACACCGGCAGTGTGGTCCCCATCGTTATCGGCATTGCGCCTGTCCACTCGTCCGTCTCTGCACCTTGAATCTCTCTGGCCATGATTATAATCTGTCAAAAGGCGGACCCAATATAATCATACCACACAACTTCTCCCCCCTCCCCCCGCCTCTCGAAGCCCACCAATGATGATTACCAGTTCGCGAACGGAGGAGAGAAGAAAAGAAAAAGAAAAATACGAGGGAAAAAGACGACGCATGTTTGCTCCTTTTCAACAAGCACGGGCATTCATGCACACACGCATACATTCCACACGCATACATCCGGGAGTAGACGCCCACGCGAAATTAGCGACTCTGATGCCGGGGGGAGGAGGGAGGAAACAACAAAGAATCAGGGCCATAGCGATTTTGTTCATGGGGGGGGGGGGGGGGGGGGGGGGGGGGGGAGGGCCAACCACTATTATGTATTCCCTTCTATGAGTACGTACACCTGTCACAATAGTCCAGTCGCTGGACGGATGGACAAGGTGGGGGGGGATTACTTGTGCTTGTATTACATGCCTGCGAGAATGATTACTCTACACGACTATTACAGGTAATAATTGATTGATGACGACTGATGACAAAGTCATGGGCCGTAGGTACAGGATGCCTGTCTCTTCCTTGGCCCGCGATCCCCCCCCAATCGAGTTTCCATATTATTCCTTAGACGCCGGTGATTAGCACTCGACTTCTCGAACAGGGTCAGATGGGAGGGGGTGCAGAAATTTTTGGCGAAAAACACACACACACACGCACAGCTTTTTCCGCCACTCTGATTACAAAGTTACTTGCAAATAACACATCAACCAGTGGGCCAGGCAGGTTTCTATATGTATAATAATGATTCCAGTAATATATCAGGAACACAGCAGGGGTAGATGCACGAAATACCGCTCGTACGCATATGACAGTCACTTCGAGACAGCATCTACGACTACAGGTACGGCGGAACTCGTACAAGTGCACGTATATGTACACGAGTACCACGTAATAAGTGCGGACATGCCGAGAGACAGTACATTCCTGACAAAAGGCCCAATCATCTTAACAGAGCAGCACCCTGCTCCAAAAAGTTTGCATTAATATTCGGTACAGCCGTGGTATTAATATCGACACCGTCAAGCCTCGCTATCTCTGCTTGGTCCTCGTGAGCAGGCGAGCAGGGATGCGACCGGTGTGTCCAGCTATGGACAAAGACGCCTGAGCACTTTTCACCAACCACAGCTCGAGTATGATGGAATGGTCGAGTCGTTTTTTTTTTTTGTCATGTCCGCCTCATTTCTCCGACCAACCCCCCCCCGGGCGCGCGCGAGACCCGTTTTCCACGGACCTCCTTTACGGGGGCCACCTCGCAAGCTCGTAGGCTCGCTTGAAGGCCGTTATTGCGACACGGGCCAGCGTCAATGTGATGGAGCGACGACTGACAGCCTGGTTTTGGTGTCAAACATGTCTTCTCATGCCTTCGTTTGCCACATATCGTTGCTTCTCATTGGGAAGCTGTCAGCATGACGGGTTGCTAACCCTTGTTTGCCTCGCGGGCCATGTGTGTCGGGTATAGTGTTTGCTCAGCCGGGATGCTCCCGGGTTTTCCTTCTTAGATTGCCGACGTCTGAGTCAATGCTTCTTCAGCTGTGGTGAGTCTGAGGGCACCGGCAAGATCTCTTATTTGCTTTTCTTCTCTGTCTCTTTCCCCTGAGATCAGACGGTTGTCTTCCGCCAATGCCGAGTCTAGGCCCTGCATAGAGAACAATCAAAGGATGCAATACACCATAGTGTAATATATTGCCCGTCGCAACTCACGAGTCGCACGAGAACGGCCAGCTTCGGCGTCGTCTTCTTCGCTCTCTCTTTCTACTAGATCCCCCGAGGCATGACAATGGCACGCGATAGACGATAGATACGGCAATGAGCTTCCTCGCGAGCGCACGGGCTGCCCGCACATTGCTTCGGTTCAATCGTCGTCCTCTCCTGTCTTGTCTCCAACCCACCAAGACGTACGGATGGCGAAATGCTCCGATTCGTGTCTCACCACTCAGTTGCCTGCAACTCTGGGCGATGATCGAGGCGAGACCTGTTCGGGACGGCCCTCCTGTTGGCGCCCTTGTCAATCCCCTAGCGTCTGCAGCTGCGTCTCGCCGTTTACACACCGTGATGATTCCGGTCAGCATCGACGGATGCTCTGTGCTGCATGAGAGGCTGGCGGCTGTCTCGCAAGGCGAGGCTATGGCGGTGGTCTCTGGTGACTGACGGGTTCTGGCGTGCTTGAGATGATGTTCTCCAGGTTGCCTTGTCGACCGCAGGTAATACGGGGTGTGTAATACCTTGACGGGAAGCGACTGGATGCAGCGAGCAGCCCACGCGTTGTGATCCCAACTCCCTTTTGGCAAAAAGACCATCTCTCTCTCTCTCTCTCTCTCTCTCTCTCTCTTGAAGAGATGGAGGTTACCGACCTGCAAGTGATGTGTGCATATCTCTTCCGGTCAACTCCTGACGAGATGCAGGTTCCCTTACCGACTGGGAGGCAGGCAGTGCGCGTGCCGACTCCTCGACGACCAACTCTCTCACCGGGATATGCCACGTCCCGCCCGCTGCAAGTCTCCTTGACACTACACGTATGAGATTTACATCCTCTCTTTACGGGCACGACCCGCGAATGGTATAATGCCAACTCCTTCGGTAGGACGCAAGCTCCCTTGTCGTCAGACTCTACGTGCATTGGCGCGGCCGCGATAAAGCCCTGTTTTCTTCGCCGGTCGGGATGGATTGTTGTTGTTGTTACCAACCTTCATCTATGGAGAATGCGTCGTCCCGTCTGCTGCAGGTTCACCGACGGGTAACGACTTATCATCACGGCTCCTGCCATGCCACGGATATATTGTATCACCACGAGGCAGTCTTGTTGCAAACTACCTTTCCATGGCCTGTGTATTCTTTCCCTATCATGCGAAGACGAGCCAAGTCCATTGACGTGATGTATTCGTATAATACTGATGCACTTTAATGACGGACAAGTGCGTTTTCATATGAAGGTGTAACGGTGAAACTTGGGCAAAATGAAGATTTTTTTTTAAAAAAAAAAAGAGAATAAATGTTGAATGCTGTCTACAATCTACCCGTACCATATCCTATAGTACCAATGTATCCCAAGTCCAAGTCCCAAGTCCAGTTCCAAGTCCGAGTCGTGAGCAAACAAAAAAGAGATTTGTAGGTATAAAAAAGAGTCAGAGATAATAGTAACAGTAGAAATAACATTTGACAACAGAAGAGAAGATTTGGAAAGAAGACTTTAAAAAATGAGATAAAATCACGCTCGCCCGCCATACGAAATATCAGAAGAAGAAGGGTGAAAAAAATAAGAGAAAGAGAACAAAAAGGTAGAGTCAATAAATAGATGAATGACAAGAGGGTAAAAAAAAAAAAAAAAGGTAGAAAAAGGGGGGGGATGGATGAGAGATATAATAAAAAAATCACATCTCAATCTTGACAAGCAACTTTCCTCCATCAATGACGTTACCCCTCGTATCACGCAGTTGAAAGAACCGATAGCCCGTTCTGAGTCGGTCCAGTCTCACGCAGGTCCACGCCAGGAGTCTCCCCTTGACGAGACCTTCATCCTCAATCTTGATCCTGAGGAAGCTGAGCTGCGGGACAACCCTGTTCACCGGCCCAAACTTTAGTTCTGCGGCTGCAAAGTCCGGATGGTCGGATCTTGCCGGTCCGGCTGTTCGACGAATGGTGTGTGACTCCATCAGTGTGTGCTTTTTTCCGTTGCCATTGATGCTGCTGCTGTTTCCCTCAGACTTGGAGTCGTGGATGTTGTTGTTGTTGTTGTTGTTGTTGAAAGATGATGATGAAGAAGAAAAGGAATCATCATCCGTCTTTTCGATAACGAGATCTGCTTTGAGAAGAGGATGCAGGTCATCTCGGGCGGCGCGGCTGATGGGCTCTGCGCTGTCGGGATTGCCGACGGGGAGGTGCTGTGCTGCGAGGACGATGATGCGGAGGTCCAGCCTCACGCCCGGGTTCGCGTCGTCCTGGGTGTCGCCGGCGTTCTTGTCCGAGCCGAGGTAGCCGGCCGGTTTGAGGACCCAGCCCTGCTCGTCGGCGAACATGGCCTCGTTGAGCATCATCTTGTCGCACATGGACTGCCAGTTCATGGCCACCATCTGGACGCCCTTGCTCCAGCAGAGGCTCGGGTCCGGGTTGGAGCTGTCCATGCGGCGGCCGGCGGGGAAGATGCGCATAAAGTACGACTTGTTGTGCCGGAACAGGTCGGCGTGGTGCTTCTCGTTGATGTCGCGGATCTTTCCCTCGCTGATGGAGAACATGTGCGTCGGCTTCTTGGCCTCGGGCCGGTCGAAACCTTTGAACTTTTGGCTGAACGTGTACACGGCCAGGTCGCTCAGCGACTGGCAGATGGGGAACCGGGCCATCCGGAAGGTCGGCTGTGAGTAGGCCGTCGACGACCTGGTCGTCGTCGTCGTCGTCGTCGTCGTCGTCGTCGTCGTTGACGTGCCGTTGGTCGTCAGGAACATCTGTGTCGCTGCTGCCGTCGTCGCCGTCGTGCGCTCGTCGTCCGTGTCCGTCGACTCGTCCTCGACGGCCAGCGCCGAGAGGCTGCCGATGACGTGCTGCCCCGGCACGTTCACTAGCTTGTTGGGCACCTTCTTGACCTTGACCAGGATCTTGCGCCGCATGTCGGCGAGCGTGGGCACCTGGAAGCGCGGGTCGCAGCCCTCCAGAGCTCGGTCGACGAGCAGGCCGGCCCACTCCTCCTTCATGATCCTGACCATGACCTCCTGCTGCTGATCGCTGGTGTGGACTTCGAGGCTGACGATGACGGGCAGGTCGTTGGTGACAAAGGCCGTCTCACGGATGGCGGCGCACACTTCACGGAAGCCGCAAGGCACGGTAAGGGTCCAGTGGTGGGTGACGATGGGCTCGCCCTCGGGCAGGCGCGGCTTGGCCCGCGACCGCGTGTGCTGCTGCTGGCCTCCTGACACGTCGGGCCTGTCCGCCGTGCTTCCTCCTCTCGGGTCGACCAGGCAGACTACGCTGGCCTTGGGGGAGATGTCGTCATCGTCGTCATCGTCGCCGTCGCCGCCGTCGTCGTCGTCGTCGCCCATGACCCCGGTGCCGCAGACGGTGGAGTTGGAGTCGACGGACGGGCTGTTGTTCGCATCCTCTCTCCCTCCCAGCATGCGGTCGTGGACAGCGTCGGCAAGATAAGGCAGAGAGCTGCCTGAGATGCGCGAACTCCCAAGGTTGTGGCCAGGCCTGTTGCCGGTGGACACGGTGCTGGCGGCGTTGCAGTTCAAGACGTCAATCTCGATGCAGCGGCAGTCCCTCATCAGCACGTCCTTGTAGATGTCGGCGGAGCTCTTGGAGACGAGCTGGTTACCGACGGCGTAGGTGTTGTGGCTGCTGTTGATGAAGTAGTTGGTCAAGGGCTTGGAGAGGTCCTTCTGGCACGGCGACCTGGCGGCGTTGCTGTACAGCATGGCCCAGTGGAACTTGAAGGTGCCGAGGTCATAGGTGTCCTCGTTCAGGGGCGCAAAGGTCTCGCCCTGGACGTCGCGTAGGAAGGCAGAGAACTTGTCCCTCGACAGCTTCTCGTCGTCGCCACGGAGGCGGTCGTACAGCTGGTCGACGACGCGGTGCATGGCATCGCTCATCTTGCTGAAGCGGGTGGCATCCTGGAAGGCGGAGCTGGCCGTGGACGAGTCCTTGGGCATGGGAGGCTTGCGCCACGACTCGGTCTTGGGCGTGGCAACGGCGGCGGTACCCATGACGAGGGCGCGGAGAGGGTTGTCGGGGGAGGGATTGTGCGAGTTGCCACGGACCGAGAGGGTGCGGGCGCGTCTGGGGCCTCTCTTCTCGTCATCGCCGTCCAAGCTGGCAGGCCGAAGGCGGCGCTGAAGAAGATGGTCAGTCTGTCTGCTGCTGCGTGCGCAATGGGGGGGGGATGTGATGTCGGTTGGAGGGTGTCCGTTCCACTCACCAATATCGGCAGACAACAGCCGAAAGTCATGATGACGGTAACTAAGGAGAGTGCGGGGGAGGGTTATATGGGATTCGAGGTTGGGGATCGTGGAAGCTGCTGGTCTCTATTCCAGCTGATGTGGGGACGGCATCTGGGGTGTAAGACGTCTGGGCAACGAGGCCGAGCACGGAAAAGAGGGCGGGCGCGAGCGAGGGCGGGATCGAAAGAGTTGGGAAGTCGGAAGTTCCTGTTGCGGTGTCGATGCGGTCGGGAAGCGTAAGGAGAGGAAAAGATTGACGAGATCGAAGGGTGGGAGAAGAAGAGCTGGGGTATTATTGAAACAAAAAGGGAATTTGATCTATGGGACAAGCTCTTTCCCTTTATGCAGTGGAGACGATCGATACGGCGGACCCGGGATATGAAAGGAGTTGGGGAAGTCGGGATCGGGGGTGAGTGATCTACTTATCGATCGATGGATGATGTAGGTGAAAGGTAAGATTGTAAGTTTCTGGCTGTCGTCTTTGTTCCTCTGGCTGCCTGCTTCTTTTAAAGAGCGAAGAAGGAGGAGGAGGAGAGGAGATCATGAACCTTGCAGTTATCTGTTAGTGCTGATGGGACGGGCCGTATTAAGGCGGAACTTCAATTGTTGGGGGGGGGAGAGTACAAGTATCAATGCATATATAGTAGCAAACTAGGCCCTCCTGGACGGAATTCAAGTCATCGGTATTTAGTATCTAGTATTGCTGCAACTGCAGCTGTCACTGCCAGCAAGAGTAAGCAGACTCCATAAATACCTGATATTACTCATAGTTTAAGGGTCCATATCTCTCGTTATCAAATCAGAAACCTTCTCTCTCTCTCTCTCTCTCTCTCTCTCTGTCTTTGTCTCTCTCACCCTGCCTCAGACTGCTACCCTCCTTCAAGAAGTTGGTGACTCCGCCGCCACCCTATTGACGCCCTGCAGAAGGACAAGAACTACGATTTTATGTATCTGCTTTTCTTTTCCTTTATTCTTCTTCGTACTTTCTTCTTCTTTGCCTTGTCTCCCTCTCTCGTTGTCATTGCCGCCTCCAAAATGCCACGATGGACAGACGGATGTGTCGCCGTCTTCCTCGAGTCCAATAATAAATCTGTCTCCCTCTGTTCCAATCTTTCGATGAAAAAGACGCGAAATGAGCCCTCGATGCCTTTACTCTCCTTCTCTGCAATAACCTCTTCAATATGACGACAACTGTTCAGGCCTACGAAGAAACGTCTCTCCTTCTCCTCTGAACTCTCCCGACGCCGCTGACAAGGGTGAGACATACAGATCACCACCACAACCACACAACAACCACCAACACCACAACGGACACGGAACCCCTGCAACTCATGTATGCCGTAGCCTGTAAGAGGAGGCCTGTGGGAGTATCAGTCCAACCATGGCCTACATGTACGTCTCTGCGGGGACGTAAGCAAGCTCTCTCTCTCTCAGTCTTGAGTATCTGTCCATCTACACAGGGGAGAACCGAAAGAAGAGGGGGGGGGGGACACCCAACAGATTGAGCGACAAGGCTAAGCAGGCGGGACCAGCCAGAGAGAGAGAGGGAGAGAACATGTGGCCCATCGCATCCCTTAGCTGGGACGCCTTCCTTCACGGACTCGGGTTTTTACCCCATGATTTGTTCAAAAAGAAAAAAAGATGACGGGGGGCGCTTGGATTCATACCCGATCATCAATCAATTGCGCCCATTCAAGATTCGCTGGGTGCCATTGCCCAGTCATGTGTGCGCCATCCCCCCCAATTAATGGTTCCATCGTAAGACGCGGGGAGGGGGCGGAGGGAGGTAAGAACTGACCGTCGATAATGAGGCGCAGTTTACGCCGAGGCTGGGGCTGGGGCTGGGGCTTTTCGGGGAGAGCGACGTTGATCCTTTCTTCCAGGACAATAATATCAATATTCCATCAATCGTCATAATACCCGGGCGCACATGATGATTGTAACAGTTCCCATCGTTCGGGAGGGCTTCTTCCTTCTCTCTTCCTCGCTTGATGTGGACGAAAGGCTGAGTGATGGATGTATTATCATGTATTATTAATATGCATTATTATTATTATACTATCTATATGCATGTAAAACATGCAAATACTTACAAAGTGTCATGAAGTCATCATCTTGTCATGTCTTCCTCCCTATGAAAGTTTGTGGATGGATGGATGCATGTCAGTTGAAAGACATGCTTCCCCCGTCTTCCCTTCTTCCCCGCCTCCTTCTTACTTTTATTTTTTCCCCCTTCTTCATCATCTCTTGACTGTTACCTTGTCCCGCCCCTCCCCCTCTTCCCCCTCCCCCCACGCGCAAGCCATCGAAGAGTAAAGAGACGACGGTTTCCCAGCCATCAATCATACTTTATCTTCTTCTTCTTCTTCTCCTTCCCAACGGTCGGTCGCGTGACAATTAACTCGAAACAAAGAAAGAACTAGCAAGCATGGGTCGCCAGCACGAGAAAGAGGTTCGCTCATGGGGTTTCAGCCATGTGTTCACCTGGAGCGATGGACCGTACGTCATATTTACAACCCATGCATCCATCCCATGCACTCTTCCTCTTGTTACCATGCTGCCCTCTCGAACGTAGCAGGCTTGAAGAGCTTGGTGGCTGACGAGACGAAAACCGGACATGCTTCTCCTATGTTTGTCTGCTTCAACAGCAACTCCCACTACCCGCCACACTCTCATGGCAACACGACGACACACCTCGTGGTGAGAGGCGACATGACGCTGTGGTATCCCGAGGATCCGGATCGAGAAAAGGTCGTGTACGGGCCCGGCTCGCGTATAGACGTAGACGCCGGTCGCATCCACGAGGTCTGGACTGGGTCGGAGGGTTGTACATATGTGATTGGGGAGTGATTGTCCCCCCTCGAAAGTTTCCATCTCTCTCTCCCTCTGTCTCTCGGCTGACAAGTATTTTCCTTCAAATTGGGATGAAGGAATTATGATGACATCCCCTCGCAACTCGTCGCCTTCAGCTCTCCCTCCCTCTCCCTCTCGACTCTCCGCTACCCCCTCCTCTCTCGTCATACGAGCATGCTCGAAGTAATGATATCGTGCTGTTGGTAATTCAAGTACAGCTATTCTATAACAAGGATTCGAGTAGTCATACCAAGGATTCGAGGGAGAAGGTGCCCAAGTTTACCATTATAATGATCGGCAAGGTGGCAAGAACACAATACACACTCACATATATCACACACACACACACACACACACACACACACACACACACGTATACAAGGTTCAACAGACGGAAGCTGTATCATGGCTTTGTCCCGGTTATAATATATATACATATATATATACACGTATATATATGTATATATATACACGTATATATATGTATATATATTTAGTCGTACCATCGTCACGTTAGCTGTAGTACTAGGTAATCAGCGTATGATGCAAAACCAACACCAAGAACAGATGAAAACCGAGCACCGTCAAAGGGAAACCAATCCCCCGCTCCCTCCCCCCCCTCCCCTCGCCCTCCTTCGTATTTTCCTGGAGACCGGAGCTTTGCCCTGGAGACTAGAGCATCTAGAGCATCGTATCGTACTAGTCCGTCTCGTGAGAAACAAAATCATGATCTGACCGAAAGGCAAAAGCTATGGAGGATAAGGTTTTGGAATCAATACGGCGGGGGGCCATGACCTCATTGTGGGCATCGCTAATACGTCTGTGTGTTTTGATACATGGTACTCGTAATGGCAGTCCTAGTAATTGTCAGTGATACTCGCCGGCTCTCTCTACTCGCATTACTTGTGTTGCTTGTACCGATACCTGTACCTAGCGTGGGCTGCTCCGGTTGACCGGCTTGTTGCTCCGTAATATCGATTGGAGCAGTTAGGAGGTACTGATGGTGAGTAGCATTTGATTTCGGGAGAGAGAAGCTACGGAGGTTACTGCTCGTATGCCACCTACCTTGCACACGATTCACGTGAGTTTAGTTTACAACGGCAAGTTTACAACGGTAGATGACGGAACTATTGGCCAAGATTACGCTGTATCTGCCTGCGTATGTACCTGTGCTGTCGTCGTATATCGCTCTACGGATAATGATACTCGGGTGTGCGGAGCAGTACAGATACAGGTAATCCGTAATCTGTATATGCAAGCAGAAGTATCAGCAAGGCGGCGTTTCTCGAGTCTCGAGTCCCGAGCCTTGACCCGTGACTTGGCCTTGGGCCTTGGCAAAAATTGACAACTTGGCAGAATGGGCCCCTGTTGACCAGGTTCTGGAAAATCGAAACAATGAGACATGATGACGCTGGTGTCTCCGTACCCGTACACTGATTATTGCAGGAGGCAAGGCATAGAAATATAATAAGAATAAAAATATTGATATATATTAATAATAAAAAATAAGAGAGGCAGAGAGAGAGAGATACAGAGACAGAGACACAGAGAGAGAGAGAGAGATGGATAAATCGAGGAAAAGGTGACCCCTGGTTCCACCCCTCTTTGTTATTCTGGCTCGGCCGCTGCAGGGGTTTGTCATGTGTTGCGGTGGTACATTTGCCAATGGATAACTCTTTTAACCTGTCCTGTATTATCTGCATTATTTATTGTTGTTGTTGTTATTATTATTATTTGCTATATTATCCATCGACGCATACAAGGTGCATCAGCTAACAGCAATCAATCGCGGATGGACCTTTGAAACACCATAGAACCCCCCCCCAACCCCCAACCCCCCGATTGCGGTCAGGTTTTTCTGCGCGTGAGATGCCTACTTGCAGCTTGTGCATGTACAGACTACGATGTAATCCATACACAATGTCGATGTTGCGTGTGGAGTTTGTATTCCCCCACCGCCTCTATGTATCATTCCAGTTGCTCGTAGATACACAAGAGACTCGATTGGTTCTGGCGCCGAGATGACATATGGGGAGGGGAATGCGGTGGTGGTAGTGATGCTGCTGCTGCTGCTGCTGCTGTCCGGTTATTGACAGACGATGGCGGCAGCACTGACGGAAGAAGATTTGATCTGTGGGAGAGGAGAGAGAGAGGGAAAGAAGACATGCGGCGTTCGAGAGAGAGAAAAAAGAAGATGAAGAGAATGAGTAGCCAAAGAGTAACGCAGCGTATTACTCGTACGGCGCATATGCAGATGTTCTGCAATGGACGCGCGGTGTCAAGTCGGTGGCATCTACGAGCAATATATTACGCACAAAGTCGCAAGAGGGCAGAGGAATTACGTAGTATCTCAATAAAGACGAGTACGGATAGGTATACGGATAGATGTACAGGTACTCTGCCAGACCACGACCAGACTCCATACATCAGCATGTAATGGATGGGATCACTACAAGTCTGCGAGTATTGTTCCGTATCACAGCTCGTACACATGGATGCCTGTACAGATTGCAGATTACAGATTACTCGTACTCCTGTAATCTGCACTCCGCACTCCGTATGAATACTCCGTACAGGCCATCACACCTCGCCGCAATAACATGCCCCAGTCCGTCGCCGTAAATTGCTGTCTCTCTCTGCCCTTGGGAATTGCCATGGCAGTCTTGTGCTCGCAGTCTAGCGGCACCTGATTGCCAATCTCCGTGCAATACCGCTACGCTACACGTATGAGAGAGCTGACCATAGTGGTACTACTCGTACTCGGGTATCATCGTCAGCAGTATCAGGCTATCAGCTATCAACAATACCAGTCCCACTCGTAGCAGGCATCCATCATCACAACTCCATCGGCAGAGCTGGCCAATCTGTATCACTACTTGCCATTATATCGGCGGATGCTGATTCTTTGTGGTATCATGATGATACACCGTATCGCGGAACTATCCACTGCTCCATCCCACTCAGGCCAGGCATGGAAACGAGCGCTTGGTGAATCCCGCTGGGACGTGATGCTACGGTGGTCAATGCGACGATCACATAATGAGCCGCGCCCCCCCCCCCCCCCCTTTTGCAATCGCCCTGTAGCTGCCCTGTAGCCGCCCTGTAGCTGCCCTGTAGCTGCCGTAGTCTGTAGCAGGTGCATCTCACGTACATGTCCGCACACCGACCGTTCACAGAGAGCACTGGCCAAAGGGCCTCCCGGCTCCAAGGGGGGGACAGACAGCCCAGCTGATGATGATACCACAGGCCAGTGAACGCTGAAGCCACAGGCTACTCGTATTGCAGCCCGGTGAAACCTACAGGTGCCGGTACCCCCGCTAGCGTTGGCGCCAACTGGGAAGCCTCCATCGGCCGCGTCTTGATGGCTGCATCTTGGAAGAAGTTTAGAGGCCCATCCCGTCCTTGGACCCATGGTCCCCATCCATCTTGATCGGCATCGCTCCCTGCATGCTATTCGCATCCACTCTCTCGCTGCCAGACGCACGTGTACGATCATGCTGCTCCCAGCATATTTCTCTCAAGTTTCTACTCAGCAGACATTCGTGATGCTGCTTGTACCACCGGGTTCTACGAGTAGTAAACGATACCGCTGCGACACTACGAGTACGGAGTACGGAATAGAATAATGCTGTGTTATTACTGACAGACCAGTCAGTATTTACATGTACGAGTACGAGCCACAGCAGTACAGTATCGTTGCCAGTGAGTACGTGCTAATACTCCAAAGTCTCAGCATCTGTCACTCTCTCTCACCAGTCGCTTTCTCACCAGTGTCAGTTCCAGAGATTGTCAGTCAGCATCCTTATTACTAAATTCCCATACTCCAAGCTGTCCCAGCTGTCCCAGCTGCACTCCGTATCGGTACTTTGATAGAAGTCTGAACTGTTAGTCCCAAACACTTTTGTTCCCGCTAATCCAAGTCCGATGGAACCACCCCATTCAAGTGCGCCCCCCCCCCCCCCCAAAATCCTGAGCCATCCACCACAGCCAATGCCACACACACCCGTCCCTCTTTCCCTCTTTCCCTCTTCAGCCTCCTGCCATTATTACCACACTACCGCACTACCGCACTACCACTATTACTTAGTATTACCGCTATCACTGCCACTGAACTCCCCGTACTCCAGTTTCAAAGCTTCTTCTCCCTCCACCTCGTCTCGCCGTCTTCGTATTCTCTGCCTCACTTTTTCTTCACTTTATACTTCTGCCTCTTTGCGTATCCGTATGTGTGTGTGTGTGTGTGCGCGCGTGTGTGTATGGGCATCATTTCTTTGTTCATCTTTTTTCTAATCTTTTCTTTTGCCGCTCTTTTTATTTTCGTTTTCGTCCACATCGCCACTTCCGTCCCCTTATCACCCCCAATCTCCCACTCACCACCACCTTCTCACACACACACACACTCTATCTCTCTCTCTCTTCTCTCTCTGTCTCTCGCCCTGTTGAGGAGAAATTATATCTTTTTGTCTCTCTCCACACATACACGCACACTCCCTCTACGTGTCGGTGTCTCAACTTCTCCAAGCATCTACTTTCGAAAACCCCATATCTCTCGCCCTCGGCGCCTCCACTCCTCCACCTGTCACGGAATGACTGCCCAACAATAAACCCCTTCACCCACATTCGTGGAGCGCCGCCGTCTGCCCTGCCTTCTCTCTCTCTCTCTCTCTCCCCCCCCTCATCTTGGCCTCTCCTGGCTCTCTGGAGATACGAGTTATGGGAAATAATTCTTCATCAGAGCAGCCCCAACGGGTCGCCCAGAGGAGACTCGCCAAACCCCGCCTGCATCACCAACATGCTGGCTCCTTCGGCAGCAGCGGCGGCAACAATGCCGACAAAAACTCCCTTTCCGCATCTCCCGCAATCGCACGATACTCCAACTCCCCCTACGCCGCCGGCCCTCCCTCTCCCACCTCCGTGCCCGCCCACCTACCAGGCAACCCGACCGATGTCACAGATCAGCATGGAGACGGTGTAGCCCCGTCAGCATGGACTTCCAGGCGGAATAGCCAACGCTTCTCCAGATGGCGCCGGTCCAGCCATGGGTCTACGACCAGGATGAGGCCCAATCTTCTGCCCTCGCTCAATACTTCCACGTTGGATGCCAAGAGCCCGGAAAGCTTGACTCCGAGTCCCCGCAACACCGCAGCGCCACCGGATGACCCATCTCTGGGGAGCATAGCAGATGTATACGATGACTTCGCGGTAGAGGGCAGGTCGGGCGTCATGTACGACTACCAGTGGCCCATGGGTGTTGCTGGTGCGGGTGGTGCTGGTGCTGGTGGCCTTGCTGCAGGTGATTACGCCGTGGCCGACTATGTTGCCTCACCAGTGTCACCCACCGCCATACCGGACGGTCCCTTCTTCCCGGATAGGGACCATGACAGCAGCCCCTTGGCCCGCTCGCAGTCTGACCTCTCCATGTATGTGCCCACACGCCGCCGCTCCATCGTCCAGGTCCCCGGAGTCGCCACCCGTACCGAACCAAGGTGGCCACCTTCTCAGCACGGAAGCATGACCTCGAGCATGACCTCACGCCAGAGCTTTCCGGCCGCCATTCCGGACGATTCATCATCGGAACGGAACTCGTTCGAGTCCTACAGGAGACGCCATCTATCCATGCCACTGCCGCCCTCGCTGGATCTGGATGCCGCAGAACGTGCCGGCACACCACCCAACATTGAATTCAGGCAACTCGGTGCCATCAAGTTTGGCTCTCTACACATCACCAACGGAACGCCCAACTCTACTCCGGGCCCAGAGGACGAGACCCGCACTACCCACGGGAGCCCATTGGTAGCTGGTGACGGCGGTGGTAGCAGTAGCAGTGCAGCCCCGACTTCGTCGCCTGTTGGGAAACAAGACTCTCTCAGAGGCGTGGCAAAGGGTTCGGCTGTGGACGCTACCGATCTGAAGCACCCCAGGCCCCTATCTGCCACTGCGGCCGCGGTGGCTGCCACAGCCGCCGGCACTACGTTGGATGGTCACCCTACTATCCCTGCACAGGAACCCGCCATATCCCTCAGCAGACCGTCTGGAGAGCACCGTGCGGGAGGCGCCGAGATCCCAGCACCAGGCCCACATCCGCGCAAGGGCTCGAGCTCCCCGGACAAGGCGCAGGTCGACCTCGGCCGGAGCGACAGCGGTGTCGGCTCGGCCACCTCGTCGACAGGCAGCAGCAGCGATCCCGTCCCTACGGCGGACAGCGGCTACGGCTCGATGCTGTCGCTGAAATCCTTTTTTGGATCGCGAAAATCGACGAGACGCTCAAAGGGTGCTGCCACTGTCCAAGGATCAGAGGCACAGCAGGAACCATCCCAGATGGAGCGCCCGCGACTGAGACGCCGCGGCACCTCCAGAGCCCCCGCCACCGAACATGATTCGCAGGACTCGTCGGTCCCCGCGCCGCCGCCAGCCGCCTCCCCTGAGGACGACGACAGCGCCAAGGCTGACAGCAAGGACGACGGGCTCTGGATGCCACGTCGCAGAAACATTCTCGGCTCCATCAAGGCAAAAAAGACCCAGCTGTCTACGCAGTCTCCCAAACTCAAGCACTCCCGAGGCTCGTCAAACCCCGAAGGCGCCGCCGTCAAGCCGCCAAGCTCATCCCCCGGTCCGAGCCCCGGCGCCGATCAGGTCAGGTCGCCGTCGAAACTCACGCAGAAGATCTCCCTCGGCTCCAGGCGTCGCAGCCTGCCCAACCTCAAGGCCGACAAGGCCAAGGTCGACCAAAGCGTGCCCTCTATGCCGTCCAATGCGGCCGAGAAGCTGCAGGAGCACAACGGTGACGGGCAGCCCACGTCGAGACGGAGGTCCTTCTTCCGCGCCTCTCCCAGGACGGAGAGCATCACGACGATGAACACCGCTGCTGGCCCCGATGCTAATGCTGTTGCCGGTGCTGGTGCGGCGACGTCGGTGGCCAGCTACGGCAACACGTCACTACTTCTCTCCATCCCCGGCCAAGGTTCCGCCAGCGGCAGCAACAGCCGAGGGCCACTCTCACGCAGCGTGTCGGTCATCTCGTCCAAGCCCACGGGCCAGCGCAAGTCAATCCTACGACGGTCGAGGACAACGACGGTGGGGAGCTGCACGCCCAGGGACCGCAGCCCGGCCGGCTTCGGCGAGTACGACGGTCTCGACGTGCAGGCTGCTTCTGTGTCCAACATCCGGAGGAGCGTGGGCAACAGCGCGTTCGACCAGGCATTGGTGGCCATGAACCGCGCTGACCCTGACCCCGCCGTGGAGGAGGCGCTGAGGAGGGGACCACCCCGCATACCGGGAGGCGGCAACTACCGACCGTACCCTCGACTCCGGACTCGGTCCTCGGCTCCCGACTTCCTCGAGACGGTGTCGGAGCCCGCCGAGCCCGGATCGGTAGACTGCTACTCGCAGAAGAAACCCAAGACTCCGCCACCTGTGAGTATCCGCACGCGCGGGTCGAGGAAGAAGAAGAACAGGCGACCCCGGCCGCCGCACGCAGCATCCCACCATTCTCATGCGGTCCACGGCGCGGGGCCATTCCCCTCCCACGCCCACGACGATGCCACCGGCGGCAGCCATGGCCACGGCCGACGGATGCGCAGCTCCTCAACCCCACGAGCCTCGGCCGGTCCCGACCCAGCGTGGGTGGGGCAGTTTGCAGACGCAGACTACTACGGGATGGGATACACGCCCATGCCACGACCGACGTACCCGGTCTCGCCTCTGAACTCGAATGCCCAGCTGGTGAGGGGTCCGGGCCTGTCTCCGGGAGCGATGAGCGGATGGGGACGGTATCCCCCGCCCTCCTCGTCGGGCCCGCACGCTGCCACTCAGCATTCGCCGGTCAGGCCACGAAGCGGTGTGGCGGTGGCGGCACCTCGTCTGGTGAGCGGAAGCTCGGGTGCGAGCGCAGGCGGCAACCACAGCAGGAGCAGCAGCAGAAACAGGAGATCTACTCATACCGGTGGGGAGGAACGACTGTCTCAGCAAATGTTTCATGATAGGTCGATGACGTATAGGAGTGTGTCGATACAGAGCTGACCTGGACATGTCGTTTGAACGCAATAGCAACACCCTTTTTTTTTCCCTCCTTTTCTTTGTTCTTTTTTTTCTCCTCCTTTATATATATATATTTTTTTCCCTCATGGAGTCCTCATTAGCGTTGACAGATATTTTTCTTTTTGGTTGTTGTTTTTTTGGGCGGTTCACCCTTTTTTTTTTCTATTCCTTTTTATTCCCCCATCTACTTTCTTTCCACCCTCACTCCAACATTCTTTGAGCCTCATTTTCTTTTTGGATATTCATCTGGGACATTTTGATCTTATTATCATCCCCGGGCTATACATAGGGCATACAACGGCAAAACATGCAAACACGGAAGATTTTGACTGGAGTATCACATAGTATCAATTTCAGTATCACAGCATCAAAAGAGTATCTAGTATCAGAGGCACGGACCAGATTCGTACTCGTGCATTCTACAGTGTGAAGCCCCTACGTCTCTTGAGATTTGGGGCCCAAGTGCAGATGGATGTCGGCAATCGCAGGCATAGTCCGGGGAGAGAGAGAGCGAGCGAGCGAGCGAGAGAGAGAGAGATAGAGAGAGAGAAAGCCGAAGCCGACGAGCCGCAGACCTGCAGGTAGTCTTGGCTCTTGCGTGTTTCTAGCTCTTGCGCCGAAGCGAATGGACTGTTCTCATTACTCGGTACCCGTGTCTGTGCCCTGTCGGGTTGCCTGCACCTGTGCCCACATATTACACACCAAGGTGGTGGGTAAAACACGCTGTGCATGCATTGAGACGATGATGTCAGGGGACTGTGGCACAGCGAGCCGTCTGCGCTTGTCCGGATTCCCCACATCAACGAAATGTCAGTGCGATGGCGGTGATGTGCTGGCATGTAACGCATCTCTGCGAGTCGACATCGATACAGGCTAATCCGTAAGGATTACGGGTAGCAGGTATCATTGCTACGGAGGTTTGAAAGATTGAACAGAGGAGCCAAGTGTTTAAAGATGATGAGCGGATAAAAGGATGTGCTGTCGTGTAGATGATACCCCTGCCGCGCCTGCATACATGCACATGTGGAGAAGTGAGAGGTGATGCTATTTATATAACCTGTAATACCATAATGGTCCATGGTCCATGGCCGCCCCCGTTGACGGACCATCCTACCAGCCTATCAGGGAAATGACTTGAAATGACTCCACCGAGGTCTTTTGGGGATGTTCGGTATTACCTGTACTCCGTGAAAGAAAAGAGTATTGTCCGTTGAGGATATTGTGGCTGTGCAGGTCCAAGCCGGAAAAAAAAAAAAAAAAGAAAAGAAGAGAGTGCTACGTTCCTACAACGATGTGGATTCGAATGGATGATGCACAACACCCATATGCTCATATCCAAAAGCTGGGTTCAGAATACCAATACCCAATAACTGTACGGAGCAGATGAATGGAAGATGATGAACAGACTTTGTAATGACAATAGACGATACATGACAGGAGTAAAAACGGAGTAATATGTAGAGTAGGCGCTGGCTGACCTTTTCGTGGTCAGAGCTGTCAAGAGTCCCAACTGGCAATAGGGCCGTAGGTATTAGGGTATGTGAGTACGGGATAAGTTGGTGTATTGATGGCTGTAATCCGTACACAAGCCCTGCACTATTTCGTGCTAAACTATTACTCAGTAACACCCAACCGTACATGTAAGGCTCCCCGCTCCCCGAATACGAAAAACGACTTGGCACGTTTCCTTTTTCTTCTCCCCTTCTCTTCTTTTTCTTTGTTTCTCTCTCTGTTATGATTACTTCTCCCTTCTGAACAAACGCATCATCTTATAAAAAAAAATTTCCTCTCCTTCATTTCGTCTCTCGTTTTTCTTCCTATTCCTTATAATACTATTCACCCATCCCACCATACCTTCGCTTACGTACATTCGCTTCCCTCCCCCCCCGATACGTTACGTTACTCCGACTAAGCCGAACTCTCGTTTTCCCATTCCTCAACCTATCAAGGGGTAACAAGGACAGGGTGGCGAGGTAGTGATACACACACACACACACAGATCTCACACGGAAGGAGAACATCACACACAATCACAGGGGAGAGAGAGTGAGCGAGAGAGTGAGAGAAGAACAAGAATCACACACAACCTTTTCAAGAGAGAGGAGAGATCAAGGGGAATCAGGAGAGAGATCAAGTGACGGGCAATACACCATGCACTCCCCACGACTCATCAACCTGGCCATCCTGGTCTGCGGCCTGGTATCGCTCAGCCGTGCATCCGAGTTCAGCCTGGCCATCCGGGACGACAGCATCATCGTCCGCGACGACCTCCTAGACAACCTCCTGGACGGGAGCTCTCCGACGGCGGCGCCCGAGGCCGCGACGACGGACGAGGCCGTGGCCACCACGTCTACGGACGCCGCCGGCTCCTCGAGCGCGGACGCGGCCGCGCCCACCACGACCGACGAGGCAGCCGCGTCCACGACGACGGACAGCTCGGCCGGCTCCAGCACCGAGAGCGCGGCCGCCTCGACGACGACAGACGAGGCCGCCGCACCGTCCACCACGACAGACAAGGCCGCCACGTCGACCGATGGGGAGCCCAGCACCACCACCACCGCCGCCGCCGCCGACACCACCACCACCACGGCGGCCGAGCAGACGACCCAGGACGGCGCCGCCACCGCCACCACCGCCACGAGCGATGAGCCGGCCGCCTCGACCGCCGACAGCTCCTCGACCGACGAGGCCGTCAGCACCGGTGGCGGCGGCGGCGGCGGCAGCAGCAGCAGCACGACGCAGAAGCTCATCGTCTCCACCTCGTTCGCCACGGTGACCATGACCAACGCCGACGGCACCAAGGAGACGACCACGTCGGCCGACATCACCACCACCACGCCCAAGACGCAGGACGGCAGCAGCAGCGGCGACGACGGCGACGGCGGCATGTCGGACAAGACGCGCAACATCGTCATAGGCGTCGTCGTCGGCATCGGAGGCGCCATCCTGCTCGGCGCCCTGGCCGTCGTCGCCTGGCGCATCCGCTCCCGCAGGAGGGCGGGCGAGGAGTCGGACACGCTCATGCCTTACACGGGCGGCTACGCCAGCGTCAGCGACAAGATGGAGCAGACCTACCAGGGTCACGACACGGCCGGCGGGAGGTCGACGACCAGTCCTAGCCCCTTTCAGTCTACCCTCGAGGAACATCATCAGCCTAGCAGGCATGTCAATACTTCTGCCAACTTTTAATTTTCCTTCCATCTTTTTTTTCTCTCTTCTCCTCTTTCCCTCTCATTCATTTCCCCTCTCTTTTAACTCTCCTTGACACCTCTTTTTTTTCCTCTCTCCTTTTCTGACTCTCTGATTCGATCAATCTGATAAACAAAACACATATATACGCACATTCTCTCCTTTTTATTTAGCAGTTGAAGCGGTTACGTCTTTGATTTCAGCATCGGCCTAGCCTTTTTTTTTATTCTTGCTTTTTCTCTCTCGTTTCTGTTTTCTGTTTTCGGGAGGGGGAAGGAGTCCCTGTTTTTTTTTAATGCCATGGGCAGTCATTTTTCATTGTCTACAGAGATTTTTACAAGAGACATAATTGGATATCTGGCAATTTGCGTTGCCTCATCCCGAAAGAAGAAATTGATTTGACTTTTGTTTTTCTATGCCATCGCTTTGGTGAACGGAGATATTGGGAGAGATGCTGCGGTGATGAGGTAAACGGAGAAGGAACAGTCTCAACAGACGCTTATGGTCCTTCACCATTCATATGCATCTACTATATTGACATGATCGCAGACACACTAGACACCAGTAGTCAGCCCGATTGCAAGACTGGCTCAAGCCCATTCGTCGTTGTCCCCGAGACTCGGCCCGTGTATTCAGGATCCTCCCCCCCCCCCCCCCTTTCCTCTGTCAGAATGTCTCGGATGGCTTCCTGTGTCGTTGAGTGTTTCAGATTCTGGGTCTCGAGTCGAAAGAATTGTCGTAAAAAAGGTACGGAGTAGTCTTCAGTCGTACTTGTACGGGAGTGTGGTACTACATGTACGAGTATAATAATAATTACTATTACTGCCTCTCTCCTTTCTCTTTGCCTCTCCCCTCCCCCCTCCCCTCTTCCCCGCCCCTACTCTCTTTCTGATATTTTGACTTGTCAACATTGCAGACGCCCCAGATATCGAATATCCCAGTAGAACGAAAGGAGAAGAGAAGGAGAGAAAAGATGTTGCCATCATCATTCACATTCATGCTCCTCCCCTTGGTCGTGAAGGCAACGGGAGAGTGGGCCATGCTTCTGCACCCTAGACAGACGGATGGGCAGAATCTACAGTCGTTTGATGGAGCCATGGGAGGAGTATCGGCGGATGCGGTATGCTTTTTCTCTTTATTCTCTTGTCGTCTATCCCTCTCGTTGTCTATGCTTCTTCTTCTTCTTCTTCCTGTCTATACATATAGACTGACAGTTTGCAGATCACCTTTTCCGGGGATACAGAGAGACCATACCAGGTCAATGGCGATACATTTGTACCTCACCCATCACGCACAGAGACGGACAGTCATAACATGTACACCCGCAGAAGCTTCCCTTACTGACTACTGTCCATCCGACACCGACAGCCAGACTACTCTACCGCGGCAAATCGAGCATGCGACAATCAAAAGAACGGATGCGCAGACATGGCAAACGATGCACAGGCTGATGTCGACTTTGAAGTGAGCGACTGCGACCAGCAGAGGGGTGAGTTTTCAAGTTACCCTACCCTATATACAGGATGGACCCGTATTTTCCCCCCCTATTCTTGGGTAAAGAATGAGAAGGACAAGAAGAAGAAGAATGCTGATGTTGACCCTGCCTTAAGAACGCTGCATGTCAGTGTCATCGAGCGCGGCGGATACGGCGTTTAGGGAAAAGGTGTCGTCTGATGCTGATTTCGATTACTTTTGTGAACTGTAATACAGAGAGATGGAAGGGGAATATTTTGGAAGCAGCTTGATTTTTGTCTGTCTCCTCAAAGAGGATGTATTGATGTATTCTTATATTATTATTTATATACCCAACGACGACAATTGACGACGACGACGACGGCCACCACCATATCACCACCAAGAAAAAGAAAAGAAGAAACCTAAGAAACCTAGGGAGTGTCTGCATTACTTACTAGTAAGGAAAATACTGCTATGGAATGAACTGACCAAACCCTCAGCGTTCCCGACAGTCTAAGCAAAAACAGACAATGTCTCGGGCCGTGCCATCATTTGCCACTCGGACCTGGCTAACTTGACCGCTCTTGTTCCTTTTTTTCTCTTCTCTTCTTTTTTAGGGTTCTTCTTTTTTTCGTGTGTCCCCTGTCCTCTCTCTTCTCCTCTTTCTAGTAGTGACGACTTCAATGTCCTCGGGATATCTCGATAGGAAGATTGTGACTGGCGTCATCTCGTCCAGAAACGCAGAGGACAGACACCATAACCGAGGCACGGTATACAAACACTGGTACTACTCCGTACTGTCTGCACAAGCACCAAATGCCGTATGGAGAATGGTTATTCCGGCGGCGCCGGAACCTTAACCTTAGGCTAGCAATGACAACCTCACCTTTTATATACGGCCTCGTGAGACAGAGAGATAGAACGAGCAAGATCATCACGACCGCTGTGGCCTCTTATTCGAGGGGGCTCATTCACCTGCGTGGGATCGTATACTATCTACGCGCGTTATCGGACGTGAACAACGATTACTCCTGTACATTTACGGGAAAATCAAAATCAGGCTCATGCCCTATGGTGTTGCTCTCTGAAAAAAAAAAGAAAAAAAAAAAAAGAAAAAGAAGAAAAGTCTTGGGCAGAATGAACCGCGTCTGACCCACCGCCTGCAGTATTGGGCATGACGGGGTCAGGGGTAGTGGGGTTGGGCTCTCAAGTATCAAGTAATACTCCGTAATAATACCTACAGGCTGTATTACGGAGTACGGTTGGTTGTACGGGTACCTAACCGTACCTATAAGTTGTGGCTCGAAGCATTGTACCCGTATACAAGTACGTATACGAATGAGTATGCGTCCGTAATAGATTGTATCATTACCGTTTATGTTCTTACACACACACACACTCTCTCTCTCTCTCCGCGTGTGTGCGTGCGTGAGAGTGTGTGGCTTGACTTGGTGACAACGGCCGTCTGTTATGATCATAATGGTCTTCTCACCTCGTCGGTACTGCAGTCTGCAAGTCTGTCTACCTGTACCTACAGGCTACGAGTATGCACCACCCACGCCAAGGTGTCAAAAGGAGGGGAATGGGGGGGGGGGGGGGTCGTTTGTTGTTTGCCATGGCGTATGATGGTAAATACAATCAATCACCCGCATGTGGGAGTAAAGCCATGAAATCGCCAAGATGGAACGTCGACTTGTCCATCTTGGTTTGCGCTGTTTCGATACTTACGGGCATATGTATAGGTTGTATTGCGGATACTCCGTACGGATACTCTCCTTCGCTAATCGTGACCGCCATTTGGCCACGTACGAGTAGAGGCCATGCTGCATCAGGTACCCCCCCCTTGCTACTACGAGACTGACTGTAATCTGTACGGAGTATCTTAGTACGTACTCGTACTCCGTCTAGTCTTCCCGGGAGCTGCTGGCAGTTGCTGGCAGTAGTATTATTATTAATACTCATCACCGGATCCTCGGTCCTCATGGCTAAACCCCAGCTAGCACGTACCCCTGCTCATCATATGCTCTCGTATTGGTTTTCGTCCATGAATACACCGGGGGGTAAGGACGGCATGAGTACATAACACGTCGCTAGACTCGGTAGGTACTTACGAGTACGTTGTACTGTACGAGTATCGACGCTGTGAGTAATTATTACTCCGTAATAATACCCCGTACAGATGGATATTCTATGCTGGGAGCATCAACGGTCACGCCCTTCCTCTGGGCTCTCCCACCTCGAGTCCTTTTTTTTTTTTTTTTTTTTTTTTTTTTTTTTTTTTTTTTTTTTTTTTTTTTTTTTGTTTTTTTTTTGCGTTGTCATTGTGGGGGGGAGGGATGGTGTGGCCACTGGCCTGTGCCAATCAATCGCTATCCATGCGCCCGTG